CGTAGTGTGTTGACTTTGGACCTACTTAATCATCCTGTGCAGATATGAAGAAAGCGGACACTCTCCTAATCCCAATCACTTCATGCCTTCCTTTACTGGAGTCCTTCGAATGTCAATCCTTAGCGACGAGTGGGCCATCTGCTTCTGGCACCGTCGGACTTAACCTCTCAAGGCTTACAAGCTTATCACGAATTAAATTAGTCTTTTCGCGCCTCCTCGATGAATCTTGGCTCTCGTATTCATGGCCAATGAATTTAGTGGACTTGTGCATCAGAGGTTCAGAAAAGATGTCACAAACCTTATTTATGAAAATCATACAACACATAGGACCGAATGTGACCAAACTTGGTGTAGGATTTGCGCCAGCTCTTTTCGACTTCAATCCTATTGGTAGAGCTCTTCCCGACTTCAATCCTAGAGATATAATCATGAACTTCCCAGCCCTTCGAAAGCTGCGACTCTTAACTGATCAATTCAGCATCTTACCGTGTTTTCGTAATTGCAAGAATATAGAATCTATATACTATTGGGGTAACATTGATTGGCCTGTCTTCAGCCACCTATTATATGATTCGACTTGGCCCAAGCTCAAGCAGATTGGACTTTGTTTCAAAGCCGACGGAAGTTTTGGATACAGCAAGGAAGAAGTCGGCCTTCAAGAACACACACGTGAACGGGAATTATAAACTTTTTGTCGATCAAAAAGGATCAAGATATATCGTCTTTATAATCCAGCACTTCGATGATGGTGATGAATCTCAAGGTTGAAGCTTGCCTGAATCTTGTCTCTTTTTTCTTTTTTGACCAATTGTAATTCAAGGTGTTTGTTAAATTCATACAACTCGTCTAAAGCTACGGTCAAATTTCCATTAATCCAGTCTACTTGTTCAAAGGTTTGACATATACTATCAATCTCAAAAAAATGACCAAAATCCAGCCTGGATCTTCTTGAGTTGTGCTGTTCCATAAGCAGTCGTAGAGAAAAGACTGGTATCCATGAGAGTGAACTTGAAACATTTGCCTGCAACAATGTGTTTATCAAGGTTGAGATGATTTATATAGACTTGTGAAGTAGCTGCTACTCTAGAGACACTCACATGGTTCAATCATATGTACCTTTATTCATACTTGAAATGTTTTTTATGATCTCCACTTCACTCCACAAGACTTATGTATATGCAATCAAATTATCCATTCATTCATTCATCAAATTTCATATATATATATATACATCTATAAGAAAAAACTGAAGAAATAAATTCAAAACAAAACAATTCAAAATTCACAAAAATTCACTTTCTTCTTCTTCAATTTCAATTTCAACCTTATCAACTTCAACTTCAACTTTCTTTTCAATTTCAGCTTTAACTTCTTCTTCAACATCAAAATGTTCTTCTTCTTCTTCATTCTCAAGATTTACTTTCTCATCTTTGTTTTTACTGCCTTTTCCTTTTCCTTTCTTTTTTGATTTCTTCTTCTTTTTACCCTTTTCAGCTTCTTTAACATTTACATCTTTATCTCTATCTTTGTCATCTTTGACGTCATCCTTGACTTCATCATCTTTGACTTCATCTTTGACTTCATCTTTGACTTCATCCTTTACTTCATCTTTGACTTCATCCTTTACTTCATCTTTGACTTCATCTTTTATCTCATCTTGCACTACATCTTCAACTTCTTCATTTCCTTGAATTTCATCGATTTTAACTTCTTCACTCCTTTCGATTCCCTTATCTTCATCAACCCGGTTTTCCATAGGTGAATCAGGTAAAGCCGGCAATTCTTTCAACTTTTCCAATCCTTTCATCTTCAAATCTCTTTCATCCTTCTCATCCTTTTCTTCTTTCTCTTCCTTTTCATCCTTTTCATCAACAACTTCAATAACTTTAGAAGTTCCAACCACAACAGCTGCAAGTCTTTCCTTCAAACTCATTCGATTTCCACTTCCAATCCTCTTTTGATCTTGACCAATCTCTACACTTTTCCTTTCCTTTCCTTCTTCCTTTCCTTCTTCTTTTTCAATCACTTCTTTAATCTCAGGTATTGATGATTTAATCGGTTCATTGGTTTCTTCTTTCCTTTCTTTTTCTGTATTTATAGTACTACTATTAGTTGGTAAAGAACTTCTTCTATCAGGTTTAGCTAATGCTGCAAGCCTTTCGCTCAATGACATTCGACTACTTATAGATGTTTTAATGATCGAAGGTCTAGAATTCGTTTCATCAACACTTTTTCTACTTTTCTCTTTATTCTGATCATTTCCATTTCCTCTCATCTCGAGACTTGGTCTAGTACCGAGCCGAAGGTTTGAAAGTTTAGAATCAGGTTTGATTTCTTCTTCAACGATCGGGGTTTCGGTGATCGCTTCTTTCTCTTTCTCATTCTCATTCGATGTCTCTTCAATCTTCTCCTCTTCTTTCTCTTTCTTCACCTCCTTTTCTCTTTCTACCTTGCTTTCTTCTTCTTCACTGATTGAATTTTTCACTTCCGGTTTTTCGTTTTCATCAGCCACCGATATTTGAGTTTGATTAGGTTCTTCATTCCTCGAGTCTTGGTCCACTTTCAGAATCCCTACCGGGGCTACAGGTACTTCTTCCTGGGGTTGAGGTTCAGGTTCAGGTTCAGGCTCCGGTTGAGGTTCAGGCTTAGGTTGAGGTTGAGGTTCAGGTTCAGGTTCAGGTTGAAGTGGCGCTTCTGGAGGTGGTGGAGCCGGTGGAGGCGTTGATGGTGTAACAGGAGTTTGAGCCTTTGGAGACTTTGGAGATCTAGGAGAAAGAAATCTAAAAGTAGATCTTAAAGTAGAATGAGGTTGATGAACTGGTTGTGATTTCTCATTACTAATTTCAACAATCGGATTAGTAGAAATAGGTGAAATGATCTTCTTAGTAGATTTCAATTCATTTAATTTCTTTTCAAGTTCCTTTAAGACTTCAATTGCTTTAGATCGGATCTCTTCATTTGCTTTCAATTCAATCTCTTTCATTACTAAGAAATTCAAATCTCTTATTAACCGTAGATAAGCTTGATCCGATTGTAAATTCAAGTTTTGATAGAATTCTGTGAGGGTTGTATTGATCGATTTAAACACTTGACTCATGATATGCTGCGATTTCCATCAAAACCAAAACGTAATGTGTTGAAAACCCAAAAAGAGAAAGAAGTTCAATTATTTGGTTATTATATTTCTCTCATTCAAGAAAAGAGAACAAACTAACCTCAAGAGTAGATGGTGTAAGATATCTACTAAGAACCTTATGTAAAGTACCCACTTCTTTAAAAAGACTTTCAAGATATCCATTAGCTCCATTAGGTTTTGAATCTAAACTTTCATCAATCGTTTCCCATTCAATCGATTCCAAGGTTTGAAGATGAACATTAAGTCGATCAGACATGATTGAAATCAATTTCGAATGAATCTCATTTTGATGTTCTTGATAATCTCGTTTTAATTTATCAAAATCTACTAGCATCACTGCTTGTTTCATACTAAGATGACGTCTTAGACATTCTCGAATATATGGAATCAGTTGAATCATAATCGAAAGTGCTTGTGATGCCAACGCTATACATTCCAGGACAACATTACAGAATCAGCTCATCATCATCTCTGACTGGGAGGATACCGATACCAGCGAGATAAATATCATACCGAGATGTTTGGCCGTGATGTTCTTGAGACCAGCCGACCTCATTGCACCAGCTCCAAGTACAACCTGACAAGTCCTCGAGTTAAACGCTTTAAGGAATTCTACAATCTTTCCCATCGTATCGGTCGTCAAAAGTGAAAAGTTAACTACCACTTGTAAATAGTTGGCCAAGGTCTTGAGTGTTTCAAGTACAGCTCCTACAGCATGTAAACTAGTACCCTCAATATCAAGTTCTTTAGATGAAGCTTGACTTGAATTGGGATCATTCAAGTCTCCGCCCTTACCTTCCGTAGAATGTAGATTAATACTGTCCCCTTGTGCAAACAAAAGTTCGGGTGGATCCTTGACAGCGCTAGCAATGATTTGATTGACCGTATACTGTATCGTAACCGGTACATCGACCTGTGCCCATTGCTCTTGTTCTACAATCTTAGCACTCTCAGTGATCTTGTTCTGATGAAAAGCTTGTAAGAAAGCCTTTGCTTGACCGACCATAACGCCTCGAAGAGCTACAATCATCCTTCGACTGATCACCTCACATTTAACAACAAATTTCCAACTGAGATCGAAGATCAAGTAGAAATCACGCAGGCTTAAGCTGGCATGCACCTCAGTTCTTACTCCAATCACTTTTGAAAAACGCAAGTTGGCAAGTTCTGCTGCTGCTTGTACTACTTCATTCATATCACTCTTTAACGCCTCGAGATCGATTGAAACTACGACCGAAGATTCGGGCTTTTCAGCATTCATCGGATTGTCTTCAATTCTCGCCGGGCTTGATAGGACCAATTCAGACTCGGATAGATCATCAGCGGTCGAGTTTGAAGTGACTTTGGTAGCAAGTTGATGATTATAAACTTCTTCAGCAATAGCAAAAAGCGTATCTGATTGGATTTTCAATGCTTGAAGACATCCTAAGAGTGAGGTATAAGTATCACGTGCGATCCCTAAGAATTCCTCGTGACTCAATACTTTTAAGTTCCGAGTCAAATTCAAACTAAAACCCTGACGCAGTTCCAAAACAAAGCAAAAGTTTATACATTAGTTTTCAAAAACAAACCATTCAAGCCTAGAGATCTCGCATTAGGTTCGTATGAAACTTTATGAATTCTAATAGAATGAACCAGCTTACGTTTTCTCAGAAAGTGTAACACGTTTCTCTCTTGGATTGGACTCAGAAGGAGTCGATAAATCATCTTTATCATCAATTTCAATATCAGTCACAGCAGCAAGAGTGTCTTTAACGATATCCCTCACTTCTCTCATAACTGCATCTCTCCACATGGTCATGACTTTCTCAAGATTACTAGCTCGCATCAAACCACTCAAACTTGGTTGAATTCGATCTTGAATCCGATCCTTAACTTGGGCATGATTTTGAAGATCGGGTGCTGGTGATTTAGGATCTTCAATATCCCATTGTCTTTCATTTGTTGAGAATTCTTGTACATTCAGTTTAAGATCGTGGACTAAGATCGAGATCAGATCAGCTTCGAGAGTACGGGAAATTGAACTTCGAAGATTCGAGAGTCGAAGAGGTAAAGCATTGAGTGCTTTAAGTTTATGAAGTCTCAATGTAGGGAATGCCCCATTCTGAGACTGATCTTCTGAGCTTAAACTTTCCGATTTCCAAATTTCTTCAAGACTTTCAATCAATCCTAAAGCAGTGATCCAATCCCCAGCTTGTACCATTGCTTCAATTTCAGTCACACTTTCCCAAACCTCATGAACTCTCATTAATCCTTCTTCAAGTTTTGATATATTCTTTCTTCGATTACTTAATTTGACCATTTTTAAACCTTTTTCTGCAACTGATTCACTGAGTTGATCAAGTTCAATCTTGAGAGCATCGACTTGAGATATACATGACGCTGTTTGAGAATGCAGAGATTGTAAATTTCCTAATGCTGAAAAGAAACTTGCACTTCTTTTACTGATTTCTTCTACCAAATTCAGTTCAACTACATCAAGATAATGAGATAGTTTTTCTTGTAGGATTTGATCTGTAGCCAAATCAGGAATTGAGAGTGGAGTTGATATAGAATTTGAATTTGATTCAGAGTTTGACTGATTAGTTTTTGATTGAGATGAAGTTTCAGTGACGATATCGAATGTACTAGGATTAGCGATTGTAAAGTCAGATTGAAAGAAGACTGAAGGTACAGCGCTAAGATCAGGTGGTTCACTTTGTTTGAGACGATGAACCAGTGAATTTGAAGCTGAACCAGTTTGATGATCATTGAGATTGGAGGAAGTTTGATCAGACGATGAAGAATCGATTTGATTTGATTGTCGAAAGTTGACAGCTCCATCTGATCCTAAGTTAAGGTTCTTCTCCCATTGAGCCCATTCGGTTTTGATTTGATCGAGGTACGGTTTAAAGTCAGATATCGAGATATTGGGGGGTTCCGTAAGTTTGAGAGGAGGAGGGGCTGATCGCTTATGAGAAGGTGCCAAGACAGATTGATTGGATGATGAGATTGGAAGAGAGACGAGAGCGGCAAAAGCTGAAGGTTTGAAGGCTGAAGGGATTGATGAAGTGAATGAAGTAGACACATTGTTGCGTGATGAAGGTTGATTGAGTAGTGTGGAGATAGCTATGTATCATCAAATAGAAGACCAGTTAGTATGAATTTATTCATCGAATGCTGATTCTTGCTTGGGGTTGCTTACCGTAACGACCTAAAGTCAGATTAGGGTGAATGGATTGTTGTTGATCTGATTCTGAATTGAAGCTACTGATACCATGCGTGATAGTAGAAGAACTTAATGAAGTGGATGACATTTAAAATGATAAGTTAACCTCAGCTTGTTGATAATTTTTCATGAGATGGCTCAGCATTCTGAAGACCATTCGTCGATCGATCAGATGACGATGATTGCATTTCAATACTCTTAAAATTTAAGTGTTTTGTCTCGGCTTGAGCCATAAGACCTTGAGCCCATAACTAAAACTCAAAAGTCATATGATCTCTTGCTAGCTGGACACGTCACCAGGATCGGTTGATAATGGCTGACTCTTGAGATCAGCACTTCTACATATCTGGTCAAGATGAGCTGAGGATGCCCGAGACTTGTGTAAAGTGATATTTGCTTCTCCAAAGCAGAAGGATATAGGAAGTCTTCTAGCAAATGAGACAGAACAAGTCTAATGGATGTAGGAGAAGCATTTTACTTATCTTTAACGATGTGCCAGACACGAGAGGGCAAAAGAGCTGTAATAATCTATGTACAATTTCGGAATATCAGATGTAGATGTGGGTACTATTATTTTTTAACATAAATTTCCTGGCTGAGGGCCCCTGATAGCCTCACCTTATAGCCTTATTTGTGTCTAACTTTCGGTGCGACCGATCCATATGGCACAGATTTAGGACACAATTGGGGTTCCTTGTATAGGCCCCCCACCTGTGGCTTTCGGTGGCAATGTGCAGTTTGAGCATGCTTTTCGACATAATAAAAAGGCACACAAGTTAGATGATTGATATCTGATTAGACATTGAAAAAGAAGAGAGATGACTGACTGATGAAGGGAACAGTATCTGGTGTATAAGGACAAGAATACCACGCATCCCCTGAGTTGATACATGCTGTAAGGTTGAAAAATGTTTAAGAAGGATTGAACTTGCTTCAACCATAAGATAAGAGAAAAGGGAAACTGACTAAAGGCATCCTTCCTTTCCATATTGTAACTTGTACACTGTTGATCACTTATGCCAGAGCCAAGAATTGCGTGGTATAAGCAACCGGCCATTGGTACCCAGAGATGGCCTATAGATATGACATTTATATGATGCAAGTGTGCAGAAGGGTTAAGGAGACCGAACTTAAAAGATAAATATCAATACAAGAAGATCACAACTTGCCATCTTTTCCGCACTGGGGCGTTGGACAAAGATACTGTTCGCCACCCCTGTCATTGCACATGCCTACAGTGATATTTGCAGCAAATCCACCTTTGCATTGAATTGTTGTGTTGTTTTTTGCTAAAGTGAAAGGTGCGATAAGCATAGCAAGGAATATAACATGATGAGATTGGAATAACATGGCGAATTGTTGGGTTAGAACGCGATTGAAAGAATTTGTTATCTGAAACTGAGAACGAGGGAGTTGCTGATTGTTGAATGAAAATAGTATAGAGTAGGAAGAGCTCTAGATCAGGTCGTACAGCAGAGTTCACCCTGGACATCAAATCCTTTCAACCCTTTTTTCTAAATGCTATGAACTAGGTCGGCAGACAGATTACCCAACAGTCGATCCCCACCGGCATGAAGACCAAGCGCCGCGACCGGGAAAAACAAGGAAGCAGAACGATCCAGCTTGGACTTAGGGAAACTCGCCCGCTATCCATGAGTCGATCGCTGTTGCTACGGCGATTTGCGGCTAGGCCATGTTGTGATGACAGGGGTTGTGATAGGTTGTGTTGTGATATCAAAGTGTTGGCAAGAATATCAGAACTTGAAGAATTCGCCTGATTGTCAAATCATCACGCAAATTCCTTCTTACGGTCTTATCTTCAAAACAATCTTTTGTAAAGATGCACAACTTTTTACATACCTTTTCTTCTTTAGGCTGAAAGGAGCAGTTCTGACGATCTACAAACAACCTCACACTTTCAGGATTTTAAATTATTTTATATCATCAAGTGAGTCACTGAGGAAGCGGTGGTGGTTTGTTGCGGTTGTCGCCACCTTCTGTTGGGAGTGATCAAAAGGTGTTTGAAAACAATGAGAAAGAAAGATCACTCATTGAAAAAGGGAACATTGGAGATTTCGACACATGCTAAGCAAGTGTGATACATAAAAGGATAAAACTTGGCTGAAGTGAATCACTTGGACGTTGGGCAAGTCCATTGTAGAATCATCACTCTTTTGGGAGAGAACGAGTGAATTAATTGAAAAAAGGTTCCTTTGGAAACTCATAGGAAGACCTCTTCGCTTGAGTTTGCTACAGGGATCTTTGTACCAAATCCTTCTACACTGTTAATTGTTTCGCTTCTTATGTAAAGGCAAATTGCGTCATAAAAATTGCAATGAATATGTCAACATGCTTTTGAGGAAAATTGGAAAGATCACCTTCGCAACTGGCATAGCTTTGATCAACAACTTGGAGCAGTCCAAATACCCTTGATCCATGAACCGACCTACCACACTCGGCATACATGAGACTGCTCAATGCTCCAGAGACGATGGTCCATTTGTTTCGGTGCAGGGAATGCATTACAACATAAGTCTTTGATTCGCACAAAATGTTACATGAACTAAAGTTATCTTTCTCTTATTTCAGGATTCATCCTTCAAACAAATTATACCGAGTGTTGCGCTTATCTTCACCAATATTGAATGGATGAAACAGGCCACGAGTGATTCTAACAAATAATCTTGGGATCTAAGATGCATATACTATAACATACTATATTTTCCCATTTTCTACTATCAAGGGGTATTCTTCGCCTGTGATTCCGGCTGCAAGTTGCATCCTGAGCATGCTGTTGAGATTGAAAAGAATGGATGATTAATATATGATCTGACGATAGTGAAAAACATAGATGACTCACTGATATATGGAACATTAGCGGCTGTATAAGGGCAAAGATAGCTGATACCTCCTGAGTTCCTACATTCTATAAATTTGAAGAGACATTTGAGAAGGATGTCATTTTTTTTCAAGTAGACCAGAACAATTAAAACAAGAAAGGTGAAAAGGATAACTAACCGTACATGGTTTCGTTTTGGATATTGTAACTAGCACATTGTTGGTTACTTGCTCCAGCGCCATCGACAACATCAAGTACACAACCTTATGGTGAGTATCAGAAAGACAATGACGCATAAGCAAGAGAAAGAAAAAGATTAAGATTCCAGAATGCTCTGCACATGTGACTACAACAAACCTGACATAGGTACCCATAGATGACCTATAGAATTACTCCACGCATTTTTTAAAGAAAGGTTAGGGAAAATCAAAACTGAGAATATAAACATCAACACAAGAAGATAACAATATACCATCTTTTCCACATTCAGCCAATGGGCAAATCCATGGGGTGTAATTTCTATCATTGCATTCTTTTGTAAATCAAAGAATAAATCAGATATTCTTCAGCATGAATCATGATCCATTTTACGTACTTGCGGTTGATGCAGTGGCGTTTATACCACCGAATCCATCTACACATTGGACTGTTGTACCGTTCGTACCGGCGAGTGCAGAACGTATGATACATATCAAAATGAGTATAAGATGAGGAGCTATAAATGACAGCATGGTGAATGAGGCAGATTGATCGAGATTAGATGAGCTTTTGAAAGTGAGAGAATTCCGGATCCTCTGGACACGAAGAGTGCAAAGGAAGCTCTAGATGAGGTTATAGATCTGGTCTTCACTAACCCTCACAGTCTTTGGGCGGAGTAAAACCTGGCAACACCTGTATCATGCTTTTCTCTACGCGTTGGCAGGTTGACAGACCAGCACGGAAGCCGAACGCCACGAAACGATGTATTCAGAAAAGATCTGGAGCGGGTAAACTTGGACTTTGATCAAGTCTTTTGACACATGAGTAGATCGCCGGTGCTATGGTGATCAAAACAGTCAATATCATCAACTTACTCAATAATGGGTAAGGTCACACTTCATACACATTTGACTCGTCAAGGAAGACAACTGTGTTATGGTTGAAAAATTTACAAAATCCACAAATAATAAAGACCATGTTGTGCTTTAAGTTCTACTCGATGGATCTGATACATGATACTTTTGAGTTATGAGATATATACACAGTATGTTTAACCAAAAAAATCACATCCGATTCAAAGAGATTTCCTTATAAAATTCCTTTCAATGAAAAAAAGTCTTCTTAATAGATTGAAGATAGCAAATCCCTTTTTAAAATTTCTTGATTCACTGATATTTATCCAATCGGTTGTGCTGGTCGCGGTGGTGGTGCTGCTCTACAGTTTGTACAAGCTATTTGATTTTAAAAAGAAAAATAAGAAAATCGTAAATATTCAACAAGACTTTTCAAAAAAGAAATCATGCAAATGAATCGAACTTAACTGATATATGGTACATTAGAAGCGATATAAGGGCAAAGATATTTTTTATGACCTGAATTGTAACACTCTTTTTAAAAAAATGAAATTCATAAGAAACCATTGACTGATGAGAATCTTTTACACTCAATCGATTATCTGAACAAGAGTTCAAAAAAAAGACCCCAAGATCTACTCACCGTATTTGTCTCCAGTGGGATTATAACTAACACATTGTTGTTCACTCGTACCAGCAAGACCCTCGAATACACAACCTTTCATAACTGTGTAATGAAGACCTAAAAAGAGTTTCAAATGAATTAGATAAACTCCTTGGAATGGAAAATCAAAAAGAAGACTATTGATGAAAAAAGTAGATCCAAAAAAATTGTTTTATACCATCTCTTCCGCACTGTCTAGTCATACAAACATATGGATTGAAATCTTTATCGTTACAACCTTTCATATCAAAATCAAAATCACAAAACAATGAATGTTGATTTAATTGGTGGATTCGAAAGGGGTTAAACTTGAACCAATTTATGTATCACATACCTGAAATCTCTTTTGGATCTTTGACACCGAATCCTTTTATACATTGAACTGTAACAGCTTCTATAGAAGTAAGTTGCGTGATAGAAATAGCAATGAAGAAGATTAGAACTTGAAGCTTGAGAAGAGAGTCAAAGGAGAACATGATGATGAAGATGGGAATGGAAAATGAGCTGATGAAGATTTTTGATGAGAAGAGAGTTTCAATGGTCCTTGAAGCTAAACTACGAAATCTTGAGTATAAGGAGAGCCCTGGATACCATTACCGCAGGGTTCAATGTATCTGATCATGAACACCGCTACATCAGAGATTGGGCGTACTCTTATCCTTGGTAACATATGCAACTTCATCTATTAGCGTTCTTTACCTTCAGAGTGGTATGAACATTAAATGCCTTGACGTGATGAATTAAAAAAAGAGATCCGAAATCACCTGATAGGTCTACCCATAAACTTCTCCGAGTCCCACTCTGCTTCTTGCAATAAGTTTAGTCTACTCACGAAGTTCGCAGTTTCGGTTTCTCGAGCTTTTCCAAAGAATCAGAGCCCTCAGATGAGAAAATCAAAAAACTGAATTCATCATAACCAACTCTTTAAAAGCACTGTTCAAATTGAAAAGCAAACCCCTAATTACACGCTATGGTAAATATGCCTACAGATCACAATATAACCATCAACTGAACTTGAGATAGAAACAGATGTAAAACCCTGGCATTGGGACGCAAGGCAACAACGCGGATAGCAGCTTGAAGAAAGCTCCTCAGCCCCGTTTCCCGCACTGCAGTGTCACCAAGGCTGTGTCAAAACTGGGAAAGAGTGGACAGTTCGTAGATTCCGAAAAGAATTATATCTCCTCATAGCTCTTGATCGTGTAAGGAAATCTCAGATTGTGAGGTCAACAAGCAATGTCTTGGGAAGGAGTTCGGCGGCCTTTCTGGGCTTGGGGAGCTGCTTCTCTGGGGGTCTTCACTCTGCGGCAAAAGTGTTCTCACTTGCCACCGTTGTACATGATCACTTCGTCTTGCAAGTTTCTTTGCCCTTTACGCCTGGGGGAGCAGCGGGAATTCTAAGTAACATCTCTTCATGGCTCAAAGGATATACTCATCATTAGGCAAGGTGTGATCTGAATTCTCTAGGGGAAACTTTTTTCACATTGAGAGAAAGAAAAATCTTCTAAGAAATATAATCTACAAGACTGGATTATGATCATATCTATCAACAAATCATTTATGAGAATCCAATGCAGGATGCTCAGAAGCTTTACTAGCTTCGTTGAATTTATTCAAAACCCCCTGAAGTTTATCAATGACAAGATTATATCTCATGTTACTAATAGAGTAAAGATTGCTTGAATCGCTATTGATCATCTGATCAAGTATCGGTTTCGGCGGGACCGGATTACCCTCCTTATCAAACTCAGCCGGCCAATCTTTCGACTCATATCGAACTGCCCCCAAGATACCTTCAACATATGACGGTTCAGTGGTGATAAGTGCATGCAAATCAGCAGATGGTGCTTGCCAGAGTACTTCACCTCCCCAAAGATACCAGATTTTCATAAGAGTTATGAGTCTATCTAAATTCCAACCGGCGACTTTAGGTGGTTTGTCCTCCTCCTTCTTTTTTTCCAAGTCAACTTCAGATGGAAGCTTCTTTGGATCTTCATCAACTAACATATCATCCTTTCCCATTTCCTCCTTCTTCTTTTTCAACTCTTCTTCTAACTTTGCCTTTTTCGCTTCCGCTTCCTTTTCTAATAAATCAATTACACCTTGAGGTTTCTTTCTCAGTCTTTCCAAATTAGGTCTTTCAGGTTCTTTGATCTCTAAATACTTCCAAAGTTCAGAAAAGTATCCATCCCAATCTCTCCATTTTCCAGCACTCACATTATTACCTGCGTGTGCAATGATCCTCAATAGTCTGAAAGGTGACTCAGTAGAAATAACTGTATCTAAATGTTTTAAGCCAGGATCCAAATAAAGTTTTGCACCCTTATTCCCATGTTGATAGTCGTGAATTGTCCTCATTCCTTCAGTTCTAGCTGTTCCTCCACCAACACCTATAAAATCGACATCCGACTTCAATAATTTATTCATGATATCGATTTGTCTTGCTGAATTATATGTCCTTGTGTAGAGAACTCCTTTTTCATTCATATCATACGTCCATGGACTCGCCATGGTCACTCCAACCTTTCTCGCTCTTCGCGGATCCTCATCTATCACGTGGTGTAAAGCAGCTGGAGAAGTCAGAACAGCGATAGCAGTGTAGTCTTCTTTATCAATCAAGTCCCTCAATGCATCCAATCCTTCCTTGAACGTCGGATCGCTCCAAGCATCAGTCTTCCATTCTTTACCACTATCATCTTTCAAAGACTTTTCAAGAGCTTGAGATTCTTCGATATACTGCACTCGTTTAGCTTCTTCAATCACACCTGATCCCTCTTCGTAATCGTAAGGATGCCGTTCGTCGCCTTCTTTGTAAGGATGTGGAAAACCCTTGTAAACCTTTGGTATCCTCTCCGGTTCAATTTTATATTCTCTACAAGCCTCCTCAATAAATTCGACCAGAGATTGATATCTCAATTCCGTAAAACCGCCATAAGAGATCAAAAACTTTGGCACTATCCCGTCTTCAAACTGCAATAATAAGTAGAGTAGATCATCCGCTTCATTATCGATTATGACTCCATAATTTCCTCTTGATATGGCTTCTGCGTATCTCTTTGAGATCTCTTTAGCACCTTTAGTATCAGCATTCATTTTTGTAATTATGGTCTTCACGTAATCTTCCAACTGATCTCCTGATAACTTATCCCAGGCAATATTAGCATACTTTCCCCAAAGTTGAAGTCTGATAGTATCCTTAGGAACATCTAATCCATTCTGTTCTAGAACTTCTGCAATCTTATCCTCAACTAACGCGAATTTATTCTTACGTTCGACTGTCTCTATGACTTTAAATTTTTTAGCAAAGCCAAGTTCTTGATATTTGGAAGACGTCATAAGATGTAGAAGAAGCTTTTGTGATGTTGGATCCTGATATCTATCTAACTTTAAAATCCGTTCATCTCTAAAAGCTTCAACCGGTTTGACTTGCTCAACCGGCTCGACTTTCTCAACCGACTCGACTTTCACTGCGGATGTCAGACTTGGGATCGAGGCTGATAAACTTGGATCGAGCCGGGGAATCTTGGTTAAACGCGTGAAGGAAGGTATGGCTCCGATATCTGAAAGAGCGTAGACCCAGTTAATTCGAGCTATCCAGACTACAGCATTAGTAATGTTCTACAGGACTTACGCATACATATGGTAAGACAGACAGTGGCGCTGAGCGCGCACCGAAATAAATTTCCAAAGCAAGACAGGTTCATTCTTTCAGACATCGGAACATTAAGCAGAGGAGCTCGAGTTCGAAAAGTATACTGCGCTACGATGAGAAGTCTATGAGGAGATTTAGAAGCGATGAGTTACACAGGCTCGTGAAGGTATGTAGGAGGTTTTGGGAGAATGAAGGATATGACTTCAAACAGACATCCACATCCCTCTTTTGTACAAAAAAAATATAATCGCTCCGGCACTTAGATCAAAACGAGTTGTTCGAGACCATTGAGCTCGGCGGACTAAAGCATTCTCTAGTATCAGGTACGTATGACTCCGATTGGTTTAGCCTCTCTAGTCCTGCCCCTTTTAGAGAAACGCTTTCGAAATCCTTCAAGACCCATGAGATCTCTGGCATTGAATTTCATACGTTTGAAGCCATTTATCCAGCTTAGAGGACATTCATGCACTCTGCTGTTGATTTGGCATCGAGTCGAGACGCGCTCTACTCGAACAAGTCTGAGTCCTTTATCCAAGGCTGTGTTCTTGCTTTCAACCTCCGTTTAGTTCTGCATTCGAATGACCAAGGTCTTGAGATGAGGAAGGGAAGATTGCCGGCAAAGCGATAAGTTTCGATCTATCGTAGTCACACTACAGAAAAAAATTGGTTATCGCGGGGGGTTTTATTCCCCCGTTAACGGAAAATCACGTGACTGATGTACCGGTGTATACATAGCTCACGCGGTTTGATGCACAGCCTTGCACAGCACTGTCAATAGGCTATGATTCTCACCGTGTGATTCATGAAACTTGATGAAATGTGAAGTTCTCAAACTCACAAATACTTAGTATAAAAAATACTAAAGCAGCAAGGTGTTTTGGGTGAAACCCAAGGCCAATCGCCAAGGGTGATAAAATTTCTTGATAAAAACATAAGTGCACACCCTACGGGGTGGCTAGCGGCTTATAACTAAACTGATAACAAAACCTGTCATACACTAGAATAACTAAAATAAAACACAATATTTTAAATAAACATAACTAATAAACTCGATATACTACCATCTGACCTCTTTTTTTTTTTTTTTTAAAAAAAATTGAACTAACACATCAAAACAAAGCAACTGTAGAATGAAAAGACACCATAAAGAACTAAACCTTGCCATAAAAAGAAACACAACTAATAACAGGGCTCAAAAAGGGAGGGCGGGCGAAAAAATAAGACTAGTGAAAAGTAACCTTAGAGAGACTTGAAAGAGATCGAATGTGAACACTATGGGAATGGAAAGATGCGATTCGGAATAGTGGTAAACAGGAATGACATCATGGACACGAATCTAAAAAGATTAAGCAAGATCCGGTCCGTCAGTAAATTTATACATACCCATTTAAAGCCCGAATCACATCACATTCCCATACGTTAATAACACGTTACCAACACCTAATTGATTTGACACAGTACTGTCGTTCTCGAAAAGCTTGTCCGGGTTTTCCCGCAAAACTCGAGCAATTTGGCGGGAAAACTTGGACAAGCTGTTCGAGAACGACAGTATGATGTTGAGAGTAGTGCGATTTGATTGGGAATAGCGGGGTTCAAGTCAAAAATTCCCGGTAGGAATTTTACGACATCCGAGAGAGTTTCTTAAGACAAATTTTACCTAAAACTAACTTGAACGTCGTAAAAATGGTCTAAAAATACGCCACTACGTCTTATCAGGAAAAAAAGGAATGAGCTTTGAGACAAAGGTACAGATGCTTGAAAAGGTTTGAAAACGAGTCAAGAGCGTTGATCTTTGAAAAATCAATCAAAAAAAGCCAACAAAGATGACCTGTGTGAAAAACAAAGACGTTCGTAAAAAAAAGAATGATGAGTTGAGCAAAACAGAGAGAGAGAGAGAGAGAGAGAGAGAGAGAGAGAGAGAGAGACACTCACAGTCTTAAGGCATCCGGTTTGATGTTGTCCCGGTCCCAGCATCAACAGGTTGAACTCATCAAGAGATTGAACTGTTAATGCTGGGACCAGGACAACATCATTGCATCAACTCACCAAGTCCTTTTCGATCAGTTTGTTTTTTGATATACATACGATTTGACTTCTACAATGCCACGATTTTCCGAACAAGCTCAGATCATCCGGGATCTCACCTTAGCCTGTGTCTGGGAACATCTAGATTCAATGGATGGGTTTGCAGACTACGATGAAGCAGAGCCCGACTATCCCACCGATGGACAACTCTTGTATCCTGACGACCCTGCCGAGGCCGAGCTCTATGATGCAGTTTTCAGCCGAGAAAACGAGTTAGCTGAGTTACTTACTTGGGTTAGCGAAACAAGATATCTTTCTCCACGACACAAGGCTCCACACGCCTCTCCGTTCAACTTAACCGACATGCTCCGTGAATGTTGCAAGGGCTTTCGACAAGCGATGCGTACAACCCCTGAAGGATTTGAAGCCCTCAGAGATCTCATCCAGGACCATCCAAGCTTTGTCTCACTCAGCAACAATCCCCAACCTCCGGTCAAACATCAACTAGCTATCACTCTGGAGCGTCTGGGTAGTAATGGTAATGGGGCATCAGTTGGCCGTTTCTCACAGAACTATAAGGTCAGCCGGGGTCAAGTTATTAAATGCACTCGGCGAGTCATCGACGTAATCCTTGAACGAGGTGATCACTATCTGGCTTGGCCATCAGCGGATCGTCGAAAAGCCATCTCGAGTGTCCTACAACAAGACGGCTTCCCCGGATGTGTAGGTTTTGTCGATGGAACTACCATTCCTTTGTATCAACGGCCAGGGCTGGATGGCGAAGTTTTCTTTGATCGCAAACACTCCTATTCGATCAATGCACAAGTTGTATGTGATTGTGATCAACACATTACTTACCTTTATGCCAGCTGGCCTGGCTCTTGCTGTGATAGTACAGTCTATGCTAAGACCGATATGGCAGCTCATCAGGACAAATATTTTTCACCTGGTCAGTAGACATACACATAACTCGATTTGATATTTTCTTGAACTAATTGTCTTCTACTTTGTGTAGGTGAGTACATTGTGGCCGACTCAGCCTATATGCCATCAGACACAGTTGTCCCTTCTTACAAAGGACCAGCTGCTGAAGTTGTTCAAAACCGAGAATTCAACTGGTGTGTTGCCAAGGCGCGTGTTCGTAATGAACATTGTATTGGGATTTTGAAAGGACGCTGGGCATCGTTACAAGGACTACGACTGGGATTGAACAGGAAGGACGACATGCAACATATCCTCAAATGGATTAAATGCTGTGTGATCCTTCATAATATGCTTGCCAATCTCGGCAATGCATGGGACAATTTGACAGAACCAATGGTAGAGGACAACATCCAGCCACATCCTGAAAGACCCTTGGATGTTCAAGGCGCACAAGCTATTGAAAATGGAAGGTTGAAAAGGGAGAAAGTCAGAGATCATGCGGTAGCTCACAACTATCTCAGTGGTGTCCTCCCAATTGTTGATCCTCGCTTACCTGATCAAATTTGACCAAGTTTTTCCTTCGTAAATTGCAGAAAGCTTTTCTTTTCTCTAAAAGTATCAATGATCATGTCAAACATGTTTCTTTTATAAATTGTCAAAATCTTTTTAAAATAATTTTCATCTTTTCAAAGAACATGTTGAACATGTTTCCTTTCTAACAAGTGTTTTTTATAAAAATTTCATCTTCATATAATCAATTGCAATTCAAACAGTGTTTTTACAATTACAAACAACCATCTGCTGATAGTAACTGTGATGATGGACACTCTTACAACTGCAAAGAATTAATATGAATCTCACAACTAACAACTATAAAAATACAGGACAAAAAATTAAAGCACAGCACTTTTTTTTATTGATTTGATGTTTTTTGATGACGAGCTTGATATGGATGATTATGAAAGGACAAAAAGCAGGGTTTTAATAAAGATGAAATTGATAAGTTGATTTCTGATCGATAACTTGATGTTAAAAGGATAAATTTTAGTTTAGTTAAAATGACTTGATTGAACTACAAATAACTTGACTGAAATAAAAGTATGTAAAACAAAATCAAGTGAAATAGAGATTGAAGTAGATAAGCTGGGAAAGATCGTAACTTCTAATGATTAACATGAGAATTTGGCCTGCCATGAAATGATATCATGAGTTGATAATTACATAAAAGTCGAGCTCGAAGTGGAAGTCGATTGCCTATAAGTGCTTGAGAACATAGTCAGCTAATCAGTCCATTGAGCTGTTCAATTGTTGATGAGAATCAGAACTTACACAGGTGGAGGCGGAGGAAAGACCGCATCAATGTATTTTTGAACCTCTTCAGGGGTTTTTCCACCCAAGGCAAGGTCTCGAGCAAACTTGACACGTTCAGCTGATTCTGCTCGGGTGTTCTCATTTGCAGTACGTTTATTTTCATCCAAACGGCTGATCTTGAATTGAACCTTTTTCCATTTCAATCGGGCCTGAGCTTCCTTGTTTTTGACTGCTTCTGAGGCCAGGCGCTGCTTGTTGATTTCCTTGATCTCGTCACTTCTAGCCTGGCTACCAGTCATCAAAGCCAGAGCGATAGGGTTCTTGACATCCTTGTTACGGACTGTTGAAGGATTGATAGCTGGTAGGGGATCCATTGAGCGAGATGCAATGTTTGATTTGCCCTTCTTGGATTTTGTCTTGGGGGGTCCCGAGATTTCTGAATCATTGCTTTGAGGACGGGGTTGCTTGCGGCTTCTCTTGTTGGATGATTTCTCGGATGGTTGTGTGTTCTGAACCGTATCACTTCCATTGCTTTCTTCATCAATATTCTCACCCATTATCTCATTCAGCATCTCATCCTCACTATCAATTGGATCAGATGATTTCAAAGTGATTCGAGACAATCGTTTTTCGGCCAAAGTGCTGGATTTCTGAGGAGGCCGCTTTTGAGTTGTTTGCTTTTGCACTTTGTTCTAATCCACACTATCTTCATTATCAGATGATTTCAAAGTGATTCGAGACGATCTTTTGTTTGCCAAAGTGCTGGATTTCTGAGGAGGCCGCTTTTGAGTTGTTTGCTTTTGCACTTTGTTCTCATCCACACTATTGATTGGATCAGATGATTTCAAAGTGATTCGAGACGATCTTTTGTTTGCCGAGGTGCTGGATTTCTGAGGAGGCCGCTTTTGAGTTTTTCGCTTTTGCACTTTGTTCTCATCCACACTATCGATTGGATCATCTTTAATTGGAAAGACTGCGACACCAAATTCACGACTTTCTTCCAATGTTGCCTTAACCTGAGGATCATGCCGATCTAAACTCATATCTTCAGCTATCAAACATGTAGCCGTTTCGGGAATAAGAACTTGTCGGAGAAAACTATCTGGACTGAGAGGTGCGGCTTTTTGTGAATCAAGGTGATGACGTAATTTTTGGTCTTCTATAAAGATATTCTCCAGTGTTCTTACAAAGATCTCATATCCTTGATATCCGTAACTGAAAGTCAGAATGAAATCCCAAGATTAACAAGGAGTAAGAAACAAAGGAAAGACAACAATAGTGAGATACTCACTATCCGGGTTGTTCCACCTCAATGTTTCCTAGCAGGTGATCCGTCACACTGTCAATTCGATTTCTGTTACACTTTTTTCTTGCGCGTAATCAAAGTAAACAGATGTTTTGCTTTTGTTGACAATCTTGCTCAAGAGCTTTTTATGATTCTTGATACGGCTATGGACAAGCAAGATGGATCAGTATCACTAATCAATAGTAGTCAAGCAATCTCACATACGCTTCTAAACCATCAAAATCGATGATGGTTGGCCATCCTTTGCTGATACCCTCTGGAATTACAAAACGTTCAGCCTGATGTAGACTACAAAAATCTCCTGTCTGAGGCCACTGAACGTTTGGTGTTGCCATTAAGGTATCCCTCATTTTGATCAGCTTACTTGACGGTGCAGCAGGGAGTGGTTCGTCACAAAAAGGACAAAGGTCTTCATCTTGTTTCGATTTGCTACATGAATCATCTGAGTCAGAATTGAATTTATTGAGAACATGATCTTCATCTTCTTCATTATCTTTGTCTTCTTCAACTTCATCAACTTCATCGTCTTCGCTATCTTCACTGTCTTTGTTATCTTTGTTATCTTCATTCTTGTTGTTCTCCTGGAAGTTTCCATCATATAATTGATTGTTATCATTTGAATATACTAGTGGCGAGACATTTTGTTGAATTCCACCCATGTAGTCACCACATATATAGCCAGCTGGAGGCTCGATTGGGGGTGGCAGGGGGCGAAAGTCGTAATCAGGGAAGTTGTCATTGACTGCAGCTGATGCTAAGAACCGTTGTAAGGCTGAATGTGATTTGTGTATGGTGGTTGGACGACAATAATCAGAGTCCGCGAGTGGTTGTCTTTGAGCCTCGGGATTGGAGTCAGGCTCTTCCAAAGAATCGTCCAAAGAATCTTCCAAAGAATCGTCCAAAGAATTGTCCAAAGAATTGTCCGAAGAATCAGAAAGTGGCTTGGATATTTGAGAACCGCCAATTTCAAGAGCCGAGATATTTGGTTTGTCTTTGAAAAGGGCATCCATTTGATGGAAGCAAGAACACTTCTTTTCTAAAACGTCATTGAGAGTGATACCTTGTGCTTGCTGCTTTTCAGTCGTACCTGCACCAGTCCCACCTAGCCAGGTCTTAGTCTTAGAGTATCGTCTTTTGTAACGATCCAAGCGGTCTCGTAAAACCTTTCCGGTGAGCCGCATGACCTTCTTATTAGGCTGAGATTTGGAATGAGAGAAAACCTTGTTTTGTTTATTGTATTCTTTGTTGATGTCTTCAGCTAGGCCGTTGAGGATAGTCGTTGGGATCATTGATAAGCCAGTCACCTTGGTTCGCTTGCCACCACCAAAGAGGAGATCAAAGATCTTTGGTTGAGAGATGTACGTGACTACATGGAGGTAGTCGGCTTTTTGAAAGGGAGGGCTGTCTTCGTGAGTCTGTGCGTCTTCTTCTGCTTCTTCGTCTTCTTCTTCTTTAGTTGAGACGGTAGCAGGAGCTTTTTGAGTAGAATTGGCAGGTTTTGATTTCGACTTTTTTGATGAGCGTGAAGTTGAGGTGGCAGCAGGAGTTTCTCCAGTCGAGTCTTCATTGACATCCTGCGATTCTCGCAATCGAGAGGCCTTAAGAGATCGTCTGACCTCGGTCTGAGTGAACTTGCCCTTCTTCTTCCTCTTGGATCCAGATGCAGCACAATCAGCATCAATCTGGAGCAAAGTGCGACGGTTCCGGGCGGGCTGAAATGTGGAAAGGAGAAAAAAATCAACATATTGATCAACAGTTTCATGATGAGAAACAAAAGGAGGACAATACCTTTTTGGCATTTGTGGATTTGGTCTTTGGAGGCATCTTGAGATACCACAAAAGTACCCAGTGGGTGTGGATATCTATGAGATCGAGTTGATTTCAATAGATTTGAGTTGGGTGATTTGATCGAAACAAAGATCGACTTCGAGTTGAGACAAGAGGGTAATTTGATTGATGAAGTGTTGATGGAAAAGAAATGAAGACCAGGCGATTCAGAGGTTTAAATAAAGATGATACTGAGATAGTACTAAAGCTAGTGACGTCCTAACAAAGCCTTTGATGTGAGATTGAAATAAATAGTAGAAATTAACCAAGTATATTGATTTGTTGCATGAGATTGACTGAAAAGGGCGGATTGCAGATGATATGAATACTGATAAATTGGATCCTTTGATTGGTTGGCAATGGCTTCTTGCAGTCCTTTAAGCTGATTCAATGATGTGTTGGTTTAATCAGACTGATGATGGGTCTCAAATCCGGTTGAGACCAATCACAAGTCACAAGGAATTGGTTTCTTGAGTCCGGTCAAGTTTCCAGAGACCTTGTTCTATGATCCTGATGATTGATAGATAGTTGATTTGATCGATGAGTTGTTGAAGCGATGAGGTAGGTGATCATTCTTTTTGTGGTGAGGTATTGTATAGTACCACCGATCTCAACGGCGATACTCACATAGTTGTCACTCCGACTGTCCCACAGCTGTGACATCCAAGTGTCACAGAGCAATACAGGGAGCTTCTTGGCTCCGACCCGTCCGCCCAAAGTCGCTTATCTCTGTTGCTATGTGTTCAAGAAGAGAGAAAAAGTACAGAGTAGACAGTTTGAAGACAAAAAAAGAGATTGACAACCGCTGTTTTTTTTGACAGGACGGTTGAAGACAAAAAAAGTGGATGACAACCGCTTGATTGTTTTGAAAAAGATGGTTGTAGGCAATCTTACCCGCCCCTTTTTTTTCCAAAAGACGGTATTTTTTTCTTGATCCGAAAAAAAGAAGGTCTTAAAAATTATAAGCAATGTCGTATAATTTTAGACCTCGCGAGTAGCTCTAAAGCTACTCGCAAGTCATAAAACGTGACTTATAATTTACGACCTTCGAGCGAGGTCTAAAAGCCATTTTAGGACCAAATCATTTTGACTTGAACCCCGCTAATTGGTGAGGATGAGAATCATTTTGTTCTTAATGTGGATCAGTGGTTGGCTTTCACCTAACAATGATGACAAAGCAATATGAGCAGTCTGAACAACTTTTATTGAAAATGGAAAGTCAATTTGAACTTACTGTATAATGGCAGTCTGCGCAGATGAGATGGTTGGAAACAACACCGGGTAAGCAACGCCCCCCGTTGCTGTTACGCAGCGGGGCGTTGCGGTTTTTACGGGGTGCTACGCTGCACAGCAGCGCAGCTCTCAGGGTCAAAAACCTCGCAGAGCATCCTAAACTTCGAAAATCGCATTTTTTTCGAACCGCTGCGCTGACGCTCCCCAAAGCGCCGCAGACCGCAGGCAGCGGTTTGTTGCGGGGCTATGCTGGCCAATCGGGTATTTGTTATCCAGGAGTGTAGATTTCCCCTTTTGGAAGTCATACTCCCAATACCACCACCATACTATTGACTGCTGACCCCTCTAATGCGCCACTCAGGCCAATTCGCTCTTGATCTCGACGTCTCTGGACACAATTATCGATGCATGTTGTTACGCACCACTCTCACCACGGATACTCGACTGTTTGCAAGCCAGTATCACGCTCCTTGAGACCGATGGGCGTGATCTTTTGGCGAAGGTCTTTGAGAAATTCATTGACTGCATTAACATCAGGAGCCATTTTAGGCTCCAATACGTGAGCGGCCCAATTATCCTTTTTAAGAATATGAGCAGCCTTTCGTTGAGAGCAAGGATCTCATCCATGATAGGTACGTTCATCGCTGTTCAATTCTTGTAACCTTCAAAAGCTCTTCTTTTTTGTGAGAGAGGATTCTTGGCAAACTAATAAAGTAATACAACTTATTTGTGTTAGAAGAGGTCTTGTCATCACTTGAAATGAATCAATTGATGAGCTGACTCTTCTCTTACCAATCCTTCTCTTCTAGATCAAGACCAAATCGGGTCCGCTCAAAGATAAGTCGATCTAGTAAACGTTTAATTTCAGGATCTAAAGATTATATGTCTGTAGCTTTTTGAGCAGCAAGTAAAGCTTTATAGACATCCATTCTAGATGATACTTCAATACCGTACTCCGTGAGTGATTTATCAGCTTCAACCGCAGCATTTCGAACACTTTCTTCCGGAGAAACATATTGATGAAAGGTCTGCATATATTCAAGACAATCAATGGACGTGCGACTGAGTCAAAAGTACAATCTTCATGCGATAGACTTCCGATTTGGTTCACGACCTTTCTAGACTTTTTGATAGTATCTTTTACGATTGAATCGATCTCGGTAGCAGTGTGATTCCATACGGGAGCCGGTTGAGGTGTTTTAGGGATAGACATTGTATTGGTAGGTTTTACAAATGAGAAAGTAAATTGAGATTGATGGTTTGAATAAAGTTGACTCTGAGGTAGTACTGGACAGACTAGTTGAAGTGAATGAGAGATAGTCCTAGGAGAGATGATTAAAGATTTACAACCAATGACGATTCACTCTAACAATTGTCAATAATTGTTTTTTCAATTCAAGTAATTTTTTTTGCTCACGCTCAATTTTGTGTGTTGCGTTGCGCGTTGCGCCCGTTGCGCAGCGCCATAGAGCGCTGCTGTGAGCTGCAGCGTTGCTCCTGTTCTATTGTGAGTGTTGCGCTACCGGCCCCTTGGATTTCCGGTTTTTTTCAAGGAGCTACGCTGCGCTGCATTAGCCCGTTGCGGTGTGCAGCGTTGCTTACCCAGTGTTGTTGGAAAGGAGCCGTGTTGTTCAGTTGTCCAAGAGGAGTAAGAGATCAAGCTAGATGACTGGTAGGATTGTAGCCAGAGGCCAATAACACACCAGTCAAACAACCACAACTGATCTTATAGGATTGCTGAAGGTTCAATGGTATCTGATGTTTGCTGATGGGTCAAAGATGTAGGAAACTTGGTCAAATTCAATCAATAGGGTAGGGTTTAGCCTTGGTGGGACAATATATGGTTGGTCCGGTGTGGCCTGGCTGATGCTTAGACCCTGGGCATTGAATAGGTCAAATCATGTGAAAAGTCCACAGCAGTACATGTTTCTGAGACATAGCCTGCAAAAGTGTACCTTGTGCACAAATTTGGCTTATGGGCTCTCAGACACCCAACCCTTAACCCATTATTGCCACATTGTCTTTCAAGACTGAATGGAGGTGGGAATCATGATGATATATCAACTCATGGTCATATTGATCACAAACAAAACATTGCACATTTGGGGATTGGTGTGTAGGTGAGGTGGTGAAAAGGAGCATTTGGGTGAAGTGCAAGCAGTTGTGTGGTCACAATTTTGTGAAATTGTGATTTTATGATTTTGTGAAATTGTGATTTTGTGAATTGAGTCATTAAGTTTGTTAATGACACTTCCAATACCCACACCACAACTGGGAGTGTTGGCCATGGTTGATCAAATGAAGAGAGCTTCTTGAACCTTCATTGAAACTTACTACTTATGCTTATGGTGAATCTACAACCCAATACAGAGCACAATTAAGAGGTAGTTATTTACAGTTATACCTACCACAAAGCGCTGAAGGTTTATGCCACATAATCATGTGGTGTGGCGGCCTCATTGGAGGGGGAATTTGATCTTTTACATAGCTTAGATTGTTGAACTCTGCCCTTGTAATATGTGACGCAAGGACGCAAAAAAACCCATTCAAAGCCTTGATACCATTCAATGACTCACATATAATATATTGTAATATAGTGTTCACCCTTACAGTGATAAGATATACATGCATAGGATACTTATCATAGTGATGACACTACTTTGTTGATCATTTAAAATACGTCAAAGCTTAACATATGCACAGGATGCATGGTACTTCATGCACCCTGCAAACAACAAACAACTTCCCTTCAATTGAGCTGGGGAAAATGGTTGAAAGTATGATTGGTCATAAGGTATTGATTACTCCACACCTGAGCCATAGCACCTACACTACATATGTCCAGCAGGATGGTTAAATTAGGAGCAATCATGTACATACAGAGATGCTCAGCTACTGGCTCATCCAAATGAGTAAATCATATGTAATACCTTCTGTTAATTTCTCCAGTTTAGCATCACTGATACATTCCAAAAATTGACTACATACACTGACTCATAGTGTTGGTGTAATTCAATCAACTAAACTTCATGTAACACCCTTTCTTGGTCATATGGCTTCCAGAGTTTTGCCTGAGTAGCTTATATGGTGGTATATGTCAGTCCATTGTTTTGGGGATGATTTTGTCAAACTGGTAAAAGTTACATGATATATCACATGTGATTTACTACAGATGAGCAGGCAACTGTGCAGACCTGTTTTATGTACACAATTTTTAACAACTCACTTGGCTTGTTGCACATCTCTAATGTGGTTTTTATGGCTCAGGTGTGCAGTGGCCAATCCCTTATGAACAATTGTAATTTCAATCATTTTTCCCCGCTCAATCAAAGGGAAGTTATTTGATGTTCAAATTGAATGTCTTCATCTTGATCAAGAAGAAATCAAACCGTGCTTTGACAGGAGTATCAGACCAAGACTTGACTGGTAAATAGGCAATCAAGTGTAGTTGAATAACAAAAATTATTCAAACTAGGCAAAGCCCTAGATAATTAGGCTACCAATTCTTAGTTCCTTTTCTTATTATTGAAAAGATTTGGTGCTCTGCTTACAAACCAAATCTTTTGAATTCTGAGAATAGAGTACATGAAGTGATCCATGTTTTATTATCAGGACTGGAGCCTGTAGTGATTGAAGGAAATAATGAATGGGCAGTGAATAGAATTTTCAATTGTAGAACCAAAGATAAGGAAGTTTAAGTATTTGATGAGTTGGAAAGCCTTTTGAACTGAAGAGAATCCTTGGTAAGCTTTAATGAATCCAAATAACATCAATGAATTAGTTAAGGAACTCAGTCTCAACCATCCACTTATTAACACAACAGCAATGTTTAGAAGATTTCAGAGAAAAAGTCAGTGGGTAAAGTTTTTTTCTCACTGGGTTTTTAATGATACCTTGAGAGATACAGAGATTGATAAAGGTATTTAGGTGATCCATGTGGAATGATGTTATGAATTGAGATATGTACATTGTATGATATTTCAAAACACATATTGATGATTGTGCATTAGATATTCATGCAACAAAGATCCTCTTGAATTTCTCATCCAAAAATTCATTTATATCACTCATAAGAGTCAGAAACTTGAAAGTAGACACCTCAATTTGTGTTGATATAGACCCTGAACCCCATCCTAACAAACTGTTTGTACAAATTAAAATATTTCTAAATCAGTCAAAAGGAAAAGCAAATCACAGGACATAGAGATCAATCAAGAACCACAGTACTCAAATTTGTGTATATTTTTCTTTTTATTTTGGTCTCACAAACTATGTACATGACGTGGGGCAAAATGATCTTTTGGTTAGTATGTGAGGTTTACCTTTTTGCCAATGTTGGTGGGTTGCCATGCAGTGTTCTCACAAGAAGTACACAACAGGTCCTCAAAGCTAGTAGGTACCTAAACATACTTTTTTTCCCGCCAAAAAATAAGATTATATAAGAAAACCATATGAAGTGATTCTAATTTAGAGTCATTTTGATCTACATACATCCACCAAAATTAAACTCAGCAGATGATAATGCTTATCTCAGACCATATTTCTGTATGAGAAGAGGAAACAGGTCTTCATGATTGTGTACATAATGAGTTTTTGAGAATAGATTTGAATGTTTATGAAGATCTCAGAAAACCAATGATACAATCAATGATGAATTGATTCTGATTTGATCAAAATAGAATTAACAAGCCCCAGTCTCAGAGATGTTTCTAATGGAATCTTCCAGTCTTACACATCTGAATATTATCATATGAGTACAGGAAAATTACGACAGTTTGTTGTGTCACTGTCACAGAAGATGTGCTTCAATCAGGTCTATCAACAAAATAGAATAATGATCACTGGAATATATCTATACAAATCTGAGGCTTCAAATCAGTCTTGATCCTCTTTGAGTCTAAAGGGACAAAAATTACTATTACCAAACTTTTTTTAGAAAACCAAATGGCTTGGGTTCCTAGATCTATGAAATCTCTACATATGTACATGATTTATATAATAGAATGAATGTATAGAGTTGGGTAGTACTTGATCATAGCTGAGATGTTAGAAATTTTCAACATGGAAAGGTTTTGTGCAACCTTTTGAATCAAGTTATGGATTGACATTGCTAGTCTGGAGGTTCTTTTCATTTGGATCATTAGATTTAATGTACATTTGATTGATTTTTGTGATATTTGAGTTTGAATAATTGGATGAATTGTATATAACAAAAAATAAGTTGATCATTTACAAGCACCACCAACATATTTACCTCACATTGAAAAATCTGAGGTATTCTCGGATGCAAAACCTCAGACAGAAGCTTCCCAAGGTTTTGATCCAAGGTAATTTTCAGGGCAAAAGAATTCCTTGGATGAAAACCTCGGACAAGGTCTGTCTGAGGGTTTGCCTCCAATGATGCCTTGGATTTCTCAACCCAAGGCATCTATGCTGGCAGTGAAGAAAAGAATTGGTAGATATTTGTTGTTACAATAGATGTGTTTGTTTACCATTTATGTCTTTGTATGGTTTCAACTTTCAGATGAGAATAGTTTGATTGAGACAAAACTGAGACAGCTATGCTACAACACACTACCGTGCATTTTGTGTGTAGCATAGCTGTGTTCAGTCAACAAGGATCTGACCTTTATGATAGTGTAGCTTATTGAGTTACACTACGCTACAAGGTACTGTAGCTGATTTATGTGCCTCTACACTACGCTACAGGGGCAAGAATTGGTTAGCTGGAGATTTCCTGGAAATCAGTGTAGGATAGCTTGAATTCATTAATGCTAATCCATGCTAGCTGTAGCTTTGTTTTTAGCTACACTATCTTGCGCTCCCAGCAACGGGTAGATTAGCTGTCTCAGTGTTGAAATTTGAGAACAAAAGGATTTTGAAGACTGTTGGGTTGGATTTAAAAATCCGTTTTATGATTCATTTTTCTGAATAAAGACTTATTCAAGACTGAACAGGATGCAGGTTTCTTGAAGAAAATCAAAGATCAAAAGAGACAAAGCCTTCAAGTTCAAAGTGTTGAAACTCAGTACGGGTAGATCCGGGTAGTTCCCCGAGAACCCGACCGACCGAGTATCCTACGGGTTTTAATGGTTCACAGAGTGTTGCCATTGACTTCAACTTCGATCAAGTGATCTCTAAGATCGATGATGATGATCAAGAAATAAAACAAACCTTTTACCAATCAATCCAACATCTTTTACTCGAATCTCATTCAAAACAAGTTCATCAATGGCCACTATAAAAGTAAGTATCTCCTAAACCATTCTTGCACCGTTCTTTTTGGTGATGGATAGAAAAAAATGTGACCCTCTTCGGTTCAAGGATCTTAATTGATAATTGATATTGTTCTTTTTGAAAACGTAGGTTTTTTCACTTTTGATTAAAACTTTAAGTAAACCGATTGCTAATAGTATGAAATCTAGAGCACAAGTAAGTCAAAAAAGGTTTTCTAAAATCTATATACTTTAAGAAACCGACTTTATAAAGAATTTCAACTTTGAAAAAAAGAATAATCTGATTGAAACGTTAAGAAACACCTTATCTTTTTTTCTTTTAACATTGTTTTCTTCCATCAAAATAGGATCATCCACAGTTTAGTTCTTTTCAAATCACTCTTTCAATCTTAAAAAAAACTTATCATCACAAGATCTGATCTTGATCTTTCTTTGATTTCTACAAAAAAAAGGTTTCGAAAACTTTGTGTTGGACTAGCTCAATCTTTACATAGATACGAAACAAGATTATCATCTGGAATATTTTCCAAACTTCAACCAACCATTAGACCCCTAAGGTACGTTAATGGAAAAAGCGCAACCCAACCCCATTTTTGTCTACAATTTAGAAATCCTTTTTTTCTTAGAATTCTTCTACTTAAGAAAAAAACAATTTTTTTTTGTAATGATTTCAATACTCACATAGTGAACCTTAAACCTCTTTATATTCGATAATCCAAAAAAATAAATAAATTCTTGGATTCGATGATGATCTTGGAAACCGAACTTATGGTGGCAAAACAATAATCATAAAAATCTTAGTGATACAAAAGCAATTCAAAACGGAGCTAATTTTCTATCTGAAGCTTTTTTATTTACTGTAGCTCTCGGATTAAGTAAGTGATTAATTATTTGGATTCTTTCAGTTATTCAATTCCAAATCATTCTTAAGTCCTTCTTGTTCACTTTGATCTAATGTTCAATTTGGATTTTTTTGGTGGGGGTTGGGGGGATAGTTGTGGGAGAGAATTTACGTAGTAGGATTCAAACTGCAAATCGACGAGATAAAGTGAATGAAAGGTTAGAAGAACTTGAACAATCGATTGTAACGATCAAGTAAGCCTCATTCAAAGAAAAATAAATATCATGTTCAATCAAGTCTTGATCCGTGATGAGTTTTTTTTCTCTGTTTTTGGTTTAGTTCAGGACAAATCGATTTACAAAACCAAGTATTTGAACTGATTAAGACTCATGAAGAACTTCTTAAAGGTTATAGAACTTCAAATCAAGAGAATGCAAAACTTGAATCAGTTAGCGGGTCAAGTCATGTTGGATTTAAAGATGATGAATTAGTCAAACGAGCTGAGATCGCATTAGGTTGGAGAAAGGCTTGATAAACTGATGATAATTATAGTATGTAAGTGAAATCACCTTTGTTTTTCGGTATGGAAAATGGCTTGGAAACTTAAGTTTGTAGTAGAAGAAAGTTGGAATTGATGACTTGGTTGGGTTTCTTTTAGTATATCCTTCTTTTATTACAAGATGGAAGATGATGATTTTCTTGGAAATGCATGGTGCATGTTACTTCTGTTCTTTTTTTACCCATGTTGTTTATGTCTTTTGTGTGGTGTGTGTTTGTTTTTCGTTTCAATGATGATTCTTTTTTTCCATAATTTTGCTAGCTAAAATTTAAAATTATACTGGTAGACCTTCGTTCAGTTATGGTCATGAAGGAGTCAGTTGTCATTGAACTAGTTTTCAAGTTGAAAAAGTAACGATGGGATCAACTTTGGAGCTTCGGCTTACTTCCACCAAGTCAGGATTATAAGAAAACAAGACGTGATATGGACTCTGGAGTGGTGATATACAAGGGACACTTGGGTAGATGATTCAATTTCAATTTTCACAAATGTTTTGATTAATTTTTGTTTTGGATCAAGGCAAATGGAAAGTTTTCATAAGTTGTTGATGGAGAGGTGTTTTCTAAATTAGTGAACAAATCATGAGGAATATACAAATGAATGAATTTGTCAGTGGGAAGATCAGACGAGAATGGTTTGTCTGGTCAAAGTTGTGTTGGTTATTCCGAATGTTGTGGGTGCGGCGCAAAAAGCGCAAGACGGTCGCGGCCAGGCGCGGACGCGCCTGGTAGCGCCTCCAAGCTTCGAAAATATGTAGGGGCGCGCCCCATATTTTAATTTAGTCCGCGGGGTTTTGTCATTTCAGCCACCCAACTCCTTCAGAAATGCCTGGAGATGACTCTGAGGAGTGTGCTTCAACATGGTATGTATTGAGATATTGGTCCAACAGTCTACCTCACTCTGAGCTATTGTCACTTGAAAGACAAAGTCTTGTCCAAAAGATCTAAGCAAGTCACTGTAAGAGTTTCATGTGTATAGAGTTGCAGTCAACTTCCTTTGAGTGTGATATCTGCTGAAATCTACCTTGTAATTGATGACTACAATTCTTTCATTGGCAACTATGTACCTATCTGCTGGCACTGTGGTACTGGCCTCTGCTGCAGTGCTGGCACTGTGAAAGATTTTTTACTTTTTTTCTACTTTTTGATGGGCAAAGGGCGCGCCAGACGCACCCCAGTGGCGCCTGCGCCAGTCTAATGGAGCTTTTTTGCGCCTGGGCGCGCCCACAACATGAAATGTAAGATGAACCAAATTATACTGTGGAATCAGATGATGATCCAAAAGATGTCTTTAAGAGGGAGATATGATGATGAGTGAGTTGGTTTATCGGCGTCCGAGTGAGTTTGAGTGAGATTGAGTGAATTGTCTTTGTCTACGCTGAAACCGATGCGACGAAGGCAGTTTAATAGAAAAGTATGAATGAAGACTTGAGAGAAGAGAGAGAGAAGAAGTCAAATTAGTAATTTGTTAATCTCCAACCGATAATCGATCATAACTAACTCCATCCGATCCATCCATCAATCTCTTTCTGATCTGTTTACCTCTTTTTACCTTCAAGTTCAACTTCAATTCATCATGCCACCACCATCTCGTATCTCAACTTTAACAGGAAATCCAGTTCCCGATTACTTTATTCATTCCAACACTCGACACTTTAGAGATACATTAGGTCGAACATTAATCTTAAGAGGTGTTAATCTTTGTTCATCTGCTAAAGTTCCAAAAGGTCATCCACATCATCTCTTGGATGATTTTTGGGAAAGTGCAGAACAAGATTCCATTAGATCTTTAAACCATCGTTCATCTTCTTCTTCTGCTTCTTCTTTCGATGATTCAAATCATCATTCTAGTTTAGATTCTACTGGTTCACTTTATCGTCAACCTCTACAAACTGATGAAAAACTTACGGGCATTAGTTATGTGGGACAAAACTTGGATTTAGAAGACGGATCGGCTGACATTCATTTGATTAGATTAAAACAATGGGGGTTTAATGTCATTCGCTTTGTAACGGTTTGGGAAGCTCTTGAACATCGTGGACCGTTTGTGATTTTTCTTTAGTTTGATCTTTCATCCATCCTTTTCTTTTCCTTGGATCTCTTTCTGATCTTGATCTTTTACTTTTTCGAACTCTTTCATTCAGTGGTCAATATGATTTTGAGTATATGGATTATGTGGTAGCTGTTTTGAGAAAGTGTAAACAATATGGGTTCAGGGTTTATATGGATCCACATCAAGATCTGGTAAGTAATCTTTCAAGAGTAGATCTCAACTCAATTCAATCAACTTCACTCTGATAATACCTTTTTTTCCCTTTTCCTTTGGATTAGTTTTCTCGTTTCTGTGGAGGATCAGGTGCACCACTCTGGACACTTTATGCTTGTGGTCTCAACCCACGTCATTTCAGTGTGACCGGAGCCGCATATCTTCAAGCCGAATGGCCACATCCTTCTTCACCTAAACCTGAAAGTCTTCCATCTATGATCTGGGCCACCAATTATAATCGATTAGCATGTCAAACGGTGAACACGATGTTTTGGGCAGGTCGAGATTATGCACCAAAGTGTATAATAGATGGCATCAACATTCAAGATTATCTTCAGTATCATTTCTTAGAAGCTTATAGAAGATTAGGTCTCAAGATTTCAGAAGCAGGTGATTTGTTAGATGAAACGGTGATTGGTTGGGATAGTTTAAATGAACCTAATCATGGTTATCTTGGAATTGAAAACTTATTGAATATTCCAAATGAAGTTCCATTGAAGATCGGACCTTCACCTACACCTATTCAAGGCATGAGATTAGGTATGGGAGAATCGATGAAACTAGAGAATTATAGGTTCGGACCGATCGGACCTCAACGAGACGGAAGTGTGGTCGTCGATCCAGAAGGAAAAACAGCTTGGTTAAACCCAGGAGCAGAACCGAATGGTAGATCAGGTTATGGTTGGAAACGTGATTCAGAATGGAAACTAGGCACATGTATTTGGGCACAACATGGAGTCTGGGATCTATCAACTGGAAACTTATTGAAACCAGATTATTTTGCTCATTCGAGATTAGACCCGTTTAGGAAAACTGATTTCGCAAGTGATTATTGGAGACCTCATCTGCTGGCTTGGTGTAGTATGATTAGAGAGATTCATCCGGAATCAATCTTGTTTGTACATCCACCTGTCTTTGAAATCCCACCGGATTTGAGTACTTCTACTTTACCTATCTTGAAACATCGATCAGTGTTTAGTAGTCATTTCTATGATGGTTTAACACTGGTGACTAGACATTGGGTAAGTGTTTTTGGGTCATCTTGATCAGTTTTTTCTTGATGAATTGACGTTTTTTGTTTTGTTTGATCTTTTGAAAAATAGAATTGGTTTAATGCTGATGCACTTGGAATTTTGAGAGGTAAATATCCTTCAGTGGTGTTTGGATTGAAGATTGGAGAAGCTGCGATCAGAAGATGTTTAAGATCACAATTAGGCATGCTTCGTCAAGATGGATTAGAAAAGATGGGAGAGTTCCCAACGATGATGGGTAAGGATTTTCATTTTGTTTTTGTTTTGTTTGGCTTAGTTGAGTGTCAACTCAAGATGAAAGAGTTCCATTAAAACTGATCAAGTTTTGTTTGGTTGATTTGGTAAAACAAAAAACCCCCCAGGTGAGATTGGAATTCCATATGATTTAGATAAAAAACAAGCATATAAAGATGGAGATTATGGAAATCAAATCAAAGCCTTAGATGCCTCTTTAAACGCATGTGATGGAGAAAACATGTTGAATTATACGATTTGGACTTATTGTCCGGATAATTCACATCAATGGGGAGATTTATGGAATGGAGAAGATTTAAGTTTATGGAGTTTAGATGATTCGATTTGTCAAGGAAGTAATTATTCCGAAAAATCAAATCGGTATGGGCGAATGTTAAGTCGACCTTATCATTATCAGTATGGAGCGAAATCAACGAATCATACACCCGATGGATCGGCTATTACTTTATTAATGAGATCTACTAATGAAAGTTCCACCACGAATGGTAGTAGTGGTAGTGGTGGGGAAAATGATGGAGGAGTAGGAGTAGGATTAAACCGAACTGACACTGATTTAAATCCAGAAGGAATCGATATGAATCTAAATTTGAATGATGGAGCCAGAGGATTAGCTGCATTTTGTAGACCGTTTCCGATTGCGACGGTAGGAGAACCGATTTATTTTAATTTTGATATTGCAAGCGCTACGTTTGAGATGACAGTAGAAGTGAATGTAGAAGAAGAAGAATATTCGAATCAAGAAGAGATTTGTACGGAGATTTATGTACCAGCAGCTCATTTTGGAGCTAAAGCACATCAGAATCGGTTTAGTATCAATCGACATAGGTTAGTGGAAGAACCATTGGGAGGTAGATCGAATGGAAGTGAAAAGTTACAGATCGAGGTGACGATCTCAGGTGGTAGATGGGAAAGTGAAGGTCAATTACTTAGATGGTATTATCCTAGAAGATTAGGTTTGCTTAAGGCTTCTTCTCGAACTGATCATGAAGGTGGGTTTGGAAAAGATCCATTGAAGGAAATTGTTGTGAGACATTCCATTAGGGTTAAAAGGAAAGATGGACCATTACTTTTGTTTGAAGATTCGAATAGCAGGTAAGTAGTATATTGGTTTTTTTGGGCTTCGTCTTCTTATCTTTGCTCTTTTACAAATCTCTTTTGGGTTTCTTGATTCCTTTTTATTTTTTTCTAGACGATCATTTTTTCTTGGAGTTTAAGTTTCTTGAGAACTTTTGAGATTGTGTGTGCTTGTAAAAAAAGTTTTTGTATGTTTTGGTTTCCTTTTTTTCTTGGATGTATGTTTTTTTTTTACTTTGGATGTCAGTTTTAAGTTTCTTTTCATTCCTTTTATATAATCTATATATATTAAGACTTTCGTTTTTCTTTTGTGCTATTTTTGTTTTTCTTTCTTTGAACATTAAAAGTCAACGAAATAAGAATCACTAATGAAACCTTTTTTGATTTTTTTTTGGAAATTAAATAGGAAGATTTTAACCAACCGATTTTTTGGTATTTTAATTTATTGTTTAACTGGATTTGGATTAATTGAAATAATGTATAAAAAACTACTAAGAAAAGAAGATAAATTCAGTAAAAGTAGTAAAAATCATAATCATAGTCATAGTCAAGGTCGATTTGAAGAAGGAAATGGGTTGGAGATTGGTGATAGAGATGGGGGTGATGGGAATAGGAGTAGGGATAGGGATCGGAATTGGAATAGAAGGAGTAGTAGGAAATCATCAAAGTGGTAAAGTGAAAAGAGGGAGAAAAGCAGGAAAAAGTAAAGTTTGGGAAATTTGAAAATGTAGGGTTAGCATTCATTGGTTGGTATTTATTTATGTAGAATTGTATTTTTTTTTAAAGTTGTTAGAAGTTTTCAAGGTTTTTTTGGTTTTATAGTTAGTTTTTGGTCGTTTTTTTCCTCAAAAAGGTTTGTGGTGGTGATAATTGCACACTGGTATTTGGGTATTAAGTAATGTTTTTTTTTCTTTTCTAGAAAATGGTGGTTTAGAAGATGATGGTTTAGAGGATGATTTATATGTTTAAGTATATACGTTTTTTATTATGCTTTTTTATGATTTTTTTTTGATTTTTTTTTTGATTTTAGAGGTTAGAAAATGCATTTTATGAATTGTTGTTTATATTTTATGAAGATTAAAATAATCATTAGATGATTTTTGATGAGTTTGATGGTTGGGAAAGTGAGAAAATCTTGGAGATGGTCTATGTACATATGTATGTGATTCTGAGAAGTGATCTGAAGCCTACACCTGGAATAATTTAGGAAGGGTATGGTTGCCCTAGTGGAATTTTTGGCTGGGAGCTGTCAACAAATGTCAACTTGATACACAAAGTTACTGCCAAAAAACAACTGGGTCAACTGGGTTTTTTGAAAACCGGGGCAGGTTTGAGAGCCACTATCATACATCTGCGCTACAACCTCTTTACCCAAACCTTCTTACACTTATGGGACCATACTTAAAAGTTTCAAAAATTGATGAGCCTGTAGTAGTCTTTTCCAAGAACTGCACATGGTCCCAGCTAATAAATCTTTTACAGTCTTACTTCAAATTGAAAAGCAGAGCTTGATTCCAAAAAGGAAAGGTATGTGGTTATGAAATGGACACATGTGCAGTAGTAGTACAACAAGCTCAAACCAATTTTTAAGCTTGCACTTATAGGGCCATAATTAGAAGTCTCAAAAATTGATGAGTCAGTAGTAGTCTTTTCCAAGAACCTCATTTGGTCCTAGCTAATAAACCTTTTACAGTCTTGCTCCAAATTGAAAAGCAGAGCTTGATTCTGAAAAGGAATGGTATGTGGTTATGAGTGGACACATGTGCATAACAAGCTGATCAAGCCAATTTTTAAGCTTGCACTTATTGGACCATAAGTAGAAGTTTCAAAAATTGATGAGGCTGTAGTAGTCTTTTTCAAGAACTGCATGTGGTCCTAGCTATTGAATCTTTTACAGTCTTGCTTCGAATTGAAAAGCAAAGCTTGATTCTGAAAAGGAAAAGTATGTGGTTATGAAATGGACACATGTGCAGTAGTATGTAGTACAACAAGCTCAAGCCAAACCTTAAGCTTGCACTTATGGGACCATAATTAGAAATTTCAAAAATTGATGAGCCTGTAGTAGTCTTTTCCAAGAACTGGACATGGTCCTAGCTAATAAATCTTTTACAGTCTTGCTTCAAATTGAAAAACAAAGCTTGATTCTGAAAAGGAAAAGTATGTGGTTATGAAACAGACACATGTGCAGTAGTAGTATGGCAAGCTCAAACCAATTTTTAAGCTTGCACTTATGAGGCCATAATTAGTAGTTTCAAAAATTAATGAGGCTGTAGTAGTCTTTTTCAATAACCTCATTTGGTCCTAGCTAATAAATCTTTTACAGTCTTGCTTTGAATTGAAAAGCAAAGCTTCATTCTGAAAAGGAAAGGTATGTGGTTATGAAACGGACACATGTGCAGTAGTAGTACAACAAGCTCAAACCAATTTTTAAGCTTGCACTTATGGGACCATAATTAGAAATTCCAAAAATTGATGAGCCTGTAGTAGTCTTTTCCAAGAACTGGACATGGTCCTAGCTAATAAATCTTTTACAGTCTTGCTTCAAATTGAAAAACAAAGCTTGATTCTGAAAAGGAAAAGTATGTGGTTATGAAACAGACACATGTGCAGTAGTAGTATGGCAAGCTCAAACCAATTTTTAAGCTTGCACTTATGAGGCCATAATTAGTAGTTTCAAAAATTAATGAGGCTGTAGTAGTCTTTTTCAATAACCTCATTTGGTCCTAGCTAATAAATCTTTTACAGTCTTGCTTTGAATTGAAAAGCAAAGCTTCATTCTGAAAAGGAAAGGTATGTGGTTATGAAACGGACACATGTGCAGTAGTAGTACAACAAGCTCAAACCAATTTTTAAGCTTGCACTTATGGAACCATAATTAGAAGTTTCAAAAATTGATGAGCCAGTAGTAGTCCCAAGAACCTCATGTGGTCCTAGCTAATAAATCTTTTACAGTCTTGCTTCAAACTGAAAAGAAACGCTTGATTCTGAAAAGGAATGGTATGTGGTTATGAAATGGGCACATGTGCAGTAGTAGTACATACAACAAGCTCAAGCCAAACCTTAAGCTTGCACTTATGGACTCATTCATGAGGAGTTTGAAAAATGTCTTGGAACTGGTTTGGTTGGAACACATGATCCTAATAAAAATTTTGTAGGTTTGTTTCAAACTAAAAAAATAGACATGATTCTTTCTGAAAGAAAGGGTAATCAGAGTAGTAATACATCACATGTGCAGTGCAGTGGCATATGTAACAACAACCTCAGTCAATTCCTTTGTTAAGATTATGATTAATTTTTCATGAAGTCTTGAACCTGTTTTCTGAATTTGGTTTGTTCAAATAAGTTTGATATTATTTTGTTCGAATGCAAAAAAATGTTACAATTATGGTTCTCAAACCCATGCAAAAATTTGTGCAAGTTTTGAGCAACTTCTGTGCAAGACATGAATAGAACTTGCACGGATCTTGCACGGATCTTGCACGTCGGTCTCACACGGTTTTTGTACCAGTTGGAACAAAATAGCTGGGGTTGTGAAAAAATTCAATGCGCAAGATTGGTGCAAGAAATCTTGCACGGATCTTGCACATTGGTCTTGCACAGTTCTTGCACAGGTTTGAGAACCATAAATGATAATTGTACCAATTGCATTTTTTCCAATGATAGAACCTTCCCCTTGATCCAGTTACAGACCTGCAGCTGACCTTGTTCCCTTGTAAGACTTCCATCTTTCATATCTCTCCAGCATCTATAATGACTTGGCCAAGAGGGGAACACAGTTCCCAGAATCAGCAACAGGAGAAATCTTCCTGATCTTCCTAGATAGTTTATTTCTAAAACCACTCAACTCATCCGCACTGCAAAAGGTATCAAATTTCAGATCTTGATGTAGATCATCAAATATTTTTCTTGAGTGTCCCAGAACTTGAGCTTTTTAGTGTGGTGAAACAAGCAGGATAAGTCAAAAAGAATTCTCTATGCAACTTTTTCTGATTTTTGAAGAGATGGACATACATATCAGGAGAGATGATCCACACAGACCTCTTGATATGAAAACTTTCTCGCGTCTCATTTTATTCATGAGGAAGGAACTTACTCAGACTCAAAATGAACTCAAGTGTTGTCAATTGAAAACAAAAAAAACAGGTCCACATTTCACAAAATGTGAAACTGATTTTGTTGAAATGCAGAACTGACAGCACCATTCTTGACAAGTGTCCCCAACATTTCCTCAATCTTTGTTGGAATTCCACTCATTTTGCTTACAATTCAGACATAGTAGGCAAATCAATGATCAATGAACATACCCAAAAAGCTCCTTTTGATCACCTCCTACTCAATGTCTCCAAATGTAATCAAAATAAGATTGGTGTGGAGAAACTTGCCAAAACAAACTCACTGAAATAACTGGAGCTCTGTCAAATGATGTTTCATTCCTGGCATTTGACCCCACCACAATCAAACAAAAATTGTGTTCACAAAAAGCTGCTTGCATGCAGGGAAGTACTTGATCAGCATCTATTCAGAATTCAAGGCAACAGCATCATCGAGTTTGAAGCATGTAGAAAACCATGTTTTGGCTTTGGCACCATTGAATAGATTCTTTGTGTTGCTTTTGAACAACCAATCTTTGTGATCAAACCATATTTGCCACTTCAGGGACCTGATGAACAATGCAACCCCTATTGGTCATACCCATGTATATTCCCAGCCAGAAAATGGATCCAACTACACCATCTCTTTGCTCACTGTACTACAGACCTCAGGGGGTTTGAAGCACACCTTGGGGGGTCCTGTATTGAATTATGTGTTGCAGCTACAAGCTTTTACAACTCTTCTGAGTGAGTTTTATGAATGAAATATGTTCTGAACAATGCACAAGGAAATGTAGAAGTCTGAAGAGAAGACCTCTCAAGCTGCAAGCATCATTTTATGAGGTCTGTGTGATCCTCATAATGGGCAAAAACAAAAACAAAATGGCCAGAAATTCTGCTGTTGTGAGTTGAAAAACACGACTTTAGCCGTAAGTCCCTCCCTTGACTACCTGGGCGGCGGGGACTTTGATAAGTTCAAGGAATATTTGTTCACTTGTCTTGAGATATGGACATACAATTTCCTTTCCGCCATGAAAAACCCTTTCTTGCATTGAATAAGCATTCTCACTCTTCTGAGTGACCCACAATTGTTTTCTATCTTAAAATATGTCCTTCAAACAAAGTGCCTTCCTTATTTCCAACAATGTTGTATACACAATAGGGTAAACGAGTTGTAACAATCTATGTACAATTTGAAAATTTCAAATGTGGCTACTGGTTTTGTTTACCATCAATTTCTTGGCTGAGGCGCCGTTGGTTTTGACGCGGTACATTTTGAACAGGCTGTTTCACAAAGTAAATAATTAATACATGATTGGAATTTGATGAAAAAGGGAGATAACTGACTGATGAAGGGAACATTATCGGCCTTGTAAGGACAAGAATACCACTCACCCCCTGTATTCCTACATGCTATAAGATTGAAGATTTTTTTTGATAAGGATAAAAATTGTCTACTGCGCATTTGAGAGAAATCGATGATATAAGTGGAGAGGTTAACTGACTGTATCCATCTTTTTTGTTCATACTATAACTTGAACATTGTTGATTACTTATGCCAGAGCCAAGCACTCCGTTGTGTAAGCAACCTTAAGTGAGTAGCAGAAAGACAACATTGCATTAGCAAGAGAAAGACATGGTTAAGATTCCACCATACTCTGCTCATGTGACTACAACAAACCTGAAAGTGGCACCCAAAGATGGCCTATCGATATTGTATTTATTTAATGCAAGTGTGAAGAAAAGTTAGACAAGTCAAGCTGAAAAAGATCAATATCAACGCCAAAATAACACAACTTACCATCTTTTCCGCACTGAGCCAATGGGCAGTTATATTGTAAGAAATCCTTATCGTTGCACTTTGCTGCAGTTTTATCCACAGAAAATCCACCTATACATTGAATTGTTTTGGTTGTTTGTTGTCCTGAAGCAAGATGTGTGACACACATGGCAATGAGTATTCCATGATGAGATTGGAATAGCATGGTGGATTGTGTGATTTGAACAAGATTGAAAGAATCGGTTATGTGAAGAAAACTATGGATTTACTGAACGTTGAATGGGAAAAGGATGGCGTGAGGAGAGCCCTAGATCAGGCCGTAGGGAAGACTTTACTCGTTGAATGCCCGATCGTTTCTACAAACTGATGTCGAAGTGTGTTGTCAACCAATACGGGGGCGAGACGCCACGAGCGGAAAAGGCAGAGACGCAGAGCGGGTAAACTTCGGCCTTGGGAAACTCACCTGCCCAAGAGTCGCCGTTCTTACGGCGATCTATGGCTAGTCATGTGGTAATGGTTGTGATTTGTTGTCTGAGACGCGAAACCGAGGTGTTGGTAAGAATTTTCGAGGTTATGACCCTCCCTGATCCCTTCCTACATACACAAATGCTATCAGTGCTATAACAGCCAGGTCTTCCAGATCCTTGTGGCTAGAGTAATTTATTGGGCTGAGACTGACACGGTATTGACACAAGGACGCATAGAAGGACGTCGACAACGATGCACTGCTTACCCCAGGGTTCACCATTCCTTCAAAATCTAACTTGTCACCCTCAGAAACTGAAAGCAACTGGATTGCTGGACCACTTTGTAATGAAATTAGCAACCTGTGATTAAGAACAGGTTATTAGCTTTTATAGGAAAGCTAACACACTGATCGAAAGAATCAACAATCTGAGAAATGAAGATTGTGAGACGAAAATAATTATGAGTTCGATTTCTTTCTAACTAAACAAACTACAAAAACAACTAAGACTTACACCTGTGATTAAGAACAGGTTATTAGCTTTTATAGGAAAGCTAACACACTGATTGAAAGAATCAACAATCTGAGAAATGAAGATTGTGAGACGAAAATAATTATGAGTTCGATGAAGAGAAAAGGTTACATAGATGAAAGTGTGAAACCTTTTATAAGAACTCAAATATGACGTCATTACAAGTTAATGATGTAAGCAAAAGAAAAACTATACGCGCATAATAGAAGAGCGCGTCACTACTATCTCAATTCCCCCCCCGTCTTTGCTACATCACTTAACCCCATTAACTCGCAAAACTTTCGATGCTTAGCCGGTGTTAAAGCCTTTGTCAATACATCTGCAATCATATCATCTGTTGGTACGTAAGACACTTTAATTTGTTTACTTTCCGCTAATTCTCTTAACCAGTGGTATTTAACATCAACGTGCTTTGTCCTTGATTTAAATTTTTCATTCTTTGTCAACGCTATTGCTCCTTGATTGTCGAGATTTAAGGTTGGTGCTTCATCTTGTTTAATTTCTAAATTCATAAGTAAGTGATTAAACCAAACCATGTCCTGACCACCCTCGTAAGCCGCTCTGTACTCAGCCTCCGTTGTTGATGTTGCTACGTTTTCTTGTTTCTTACTCTTCCAGTTGACAGTACTTTCTCCTAGCATTGTAATATAACCGCCTGTAGATCTTCTAGTATATGGACATGCTGCAAAATCCGCGTCTGCATAAGCTTTTAAATTTAAATTCTTTCCTCCTAATACAATTCCTACATTTCTAGTTCCACTTAAATACCTAAGCACTCTCTTGAAAGCTTGCCAATGCGCAATGGACGGATTATTCAGATGTTGTGATAACTGTGATACAACAAATGAAATATCTGGCCTCGTCGCATTATTCAGGTACATCAACATTCCAACTGCATGTCTATAATTTTCTTTTAACTCTATGAATTCATCTACCTCCTCCTTTGTACCTGGAACTAAATAACTACCTGGAATCATTGGACATCCGACCGGTTTGCTTTCTGACATGTTGTACTCCTCCAATAAATTATTAATGTATTGATTTTGTGATAGAGTAATTGTCTTGTTTAAGCGATCCCTAGTCACCTTCATTCCTAAAATATATTTGTAGTCGACGTCTTCGTCCATTTGAAATCTTTCGGTGATTAATCTTTTGAATCTTCCAAAATCGTCAGTCGCAATTGTCATATCATCAACGTGTACATGAACAAAGCATTTCCAGTTTGAATCCGTCGAGATGAACAAGCTTGGATCGGAAGAAGATGGTAGAAGTGAAATTGATTTGAAAAACGCTTTAAGACAATCGTACCATACTTTAGGTGCTTGTTTTAGACCGTATAAAGCTTGATTTAATTTTAACACTGATTTTAAAGTAGCGCCTGGAATGTGTAGGCCTTTTGGTATCCTAATAAAGATAACTTCTTGCGGTGAACCATTCAGAAAAGCAGCTACAGCGTCCATCTGATGTACTTCCAAGTCATGTACAGCCGCCATGGTGTTCAAGGTCCTTAAAGTTGCTAACTTTCCAGTAGGCGCAAATGTTTCGTTATAATCTTCACCATATTCTTGAGCAAAACCTTGTGCACATAATCTAGCTTTGAATTTGATCAATTCACCATCTCCACCCATTTTCCTCTTGAAAACCCATGTCGTTCCGATTGCATTCTTGCCTGGCGGTAACTCACACAAATCCCACACATGTCTTCGATCCATATTTGCAAGTTTGTTATCTATAGCCTTTCGCCAATCAAATGCATTGTCAGACTTTAGTGCTTGTAAGTATGTTTTGGGATCAATTTCAACTTGAGCTACTCGTGCTGTTACATTAGCGAATTCATGATGATGAGCCATGTATCGAGTGGCTCGAGCCAAGTGACGTTGCGCGATACGGTTCAAACGTCGAGCTTCATGAGAACGATGCCGTTTAGCGTCTGGCGGTAAGATGTTTATTGGATCGATTGCGCTTGAAATGTCCTTGGGTGCTGGAATTGACGCAAGTTGCCAATCCCACTCTCGTTTCCCAGGAATGATGGGTGGGACGATTTCAGGATTTGGAAGATTTGGTACCCGATGTTCAATCTGCATCGAAATGTCTCCGACTCGAACTAGTTGATTGTTCAGTGAATTCGAAGGAAATGTTAATTGACCTTCTGAGTGAACTACCAGTTGATCTTCTGATGAACTTGACGGATCAGGCGTGTCATCAAGTCGCTGGTCTGAAGCTTGTAAAACTCGTGTAAGCGTAGTCTCTTCAGACATGGGATTGTCTGAAGCTTGTAAAACTCGCGGCAACGCAGTCTCTTCAGGCATAGGCGCTTGTGATGAATTTGGATTGTGTGTTGGTCCCGGTGATGTTGAAAGCGAAGAGGTTGTATCATCAATACATGAGTTGGTCGTACTTTCAAATGTTTCTTCAAAACAATTAATGCTTTCCTTATTTGTGATTCCGGGAAAACAATCCACGTCGAATGTGACGTCATGTGAGAAAACCGTCTTTCCAGAATCTAGTCGAATGCGATAGTTCTTCATGCCTAGTTGATAGCCTAAAAGAATGCCTTTGACACTTGTGTTGTCAAATTTCTTCCGGAACTGTTTGGGAACTAACACATATGCACGACATCCAAACGGTTTTAATCTTGCAAAGTCAAACTTTCTTCCAAACCAAAGTTCATAAGGAGTTTGGTCATCGATTTTCTCCATAGGCGTGATATTCTCAAGAAAAAGTGCCGTGCTGACAGCTTCTCCCCAAAAAGAATGAGGAAGGTGAGATTGTAAAAGAAGAGTTTGAGCCTTCTTAGTCGTAGTGTGATTTCCACGTTCAGACACCGAGTTTTGTTGAAGGGTGTATGGAGCACTTAGGTATGAGATTGTTCCATCTTCCTCTAGCCACTTACCAAATTCATTGGAAATATACTCACCACCTTGGTCATTGACCAAACTAACAATCTTACAATTATGCAAATTCTCAACCTCACCCTTGAACTTGATAAAACATGAGAAAGTCTCGGATTTAGATTTCATGATATACACATATTTGTAATTGGTGAAAGAATCTGTAAGCTTGAAATAATAAAGGCCACCACCTTCAGATACAACTGAGATTCTACCACTCAAATCACTGTGTACAACTTCTAATGGAAAGGTGGTTTTTGGAAGTGTACCGGAATATGAAAGTCGATGTCCTTTTGAGAGCATACATTCTTCACATACCCAATGATCCGGCGCATGAACTCCATACATAATGTTTAGCCGTCGAGGATTGGTGTGTCCTGAACCCCTGTGTAAAACGGTGTAATCAGAAAGAGTCGTTTTGTTGCATGTAAGAGAAATTGACGTGCCTAAGCTAGCATCTAATTCAATGATTCTGTTCCTGATTTGACCACGAAAACCAGGCTTGCCTTCCTTCATCATTGCGATTATTCCTTTTTCATGTATAAAGTTATAACCATCATTCAGAAGACAACCCATACTAATCAATGGATTACTGAGATTGGGAACGTGATAAGCCGGTAAAATGATTTCTTCACCCAAAGAGTTACAAATGATATCTCCTTTGCCAGCAATGTGTATTACTCCTCCATCAGCAATAGATACATCAGAATGAGCTTCGACGTAGTTGATGAAAAGTTCGCGATTAGAGATCATGTGATCCGAGCAAGCGCTGTCGAGTAAGATGTTACTGCCGTTTTCTTTATAATGACAAGATAAGGCAGATGTTTCAATTATGTCATCCACGTATGCAGCTTGTAAGACAGCAGTCGTTGCACGTGATCGACTCGGAACATTAGCTGGACGTAAGTTTGGGAATTGAATCCAGCAAGATTCTAATTTGTGACCAGTCACAGCAGGATTGTGTCGACCATTTGAACAGGTGGGATATGGGTACCGTCGACCTGATTGACGTGGTGGTGGTCGACTCGTAGCCAGTGCTGTGGAATTGGAGTCATTTCGGTGTCGCTCGTTGTATTTGACTAGATGAGCGTCGAGAGTATCCAAGACTACCTTCGTCTTTAAAGGACGTTTGGTATCGAGGATGGCAATTGTAGTCTCCATAGTGTTGGGTAACTTGCCGACAATGGTTTCAGACATTAATTCTTGAATGTCTTCGGTGAAGTTGATGCCGCAAGCGTGCATAGTGGCCAGCGCGAATCTCGTATCTTTGATATATTGAGATAGAGATTGATAGATGATTCAAGCAAAGGAAGAATATGCTCTGCCTTTACTTCCCGAAGTCGTGGACTGGAATTTTTCTTTCATAAGTATCCAGATATCCAAAGGTTTACTGATGAGACCTTCGGATTCAACCATGATTCGATACTGTTGACTCATATGAGAGTACATGATACCCGCTGCTTTATGTTGTCGTATAACGTAGGCTTCGTAGAGAACTTTCTGTTCACGAGGAACTGGGAACTCGGTAGGTGGTTCGATGGGTGTGGCTTCGGAGTCGATGAACTCGTCTAAGGTGGCAGACATGAGCGCTCCGGTGATATCACCTTTCCACTCAGGATAGTTGTCATTGTCTAGTTTGACAATGCGAAGTCTAGCTTCAGAAGACGACATAATGATGACAACGATTGAGATGATGAATGAAACGATGAAAAGTGTAGTGTGTGTGTGATGAAAGAACATAGGTCGTTCGATAGTGTGCGATAGCAAAAAAAATTCTGAGTTTTCGTGTGGTGTGACGAGATGATGTGATGCGATGTTATACAGCTAGTGAGCTGGGCTCATAACCAATGAAACTAGCAACCTGTGATTAAGAACAGGTTATTAGCTTTTATAGGAAAGCTAACACACTGATCGAAAGAATCAACAATCTGAGAAATGAAGATTGTGAGACAAAAATAATTATGAGTTCGATGAAGAGAAAAGGTTACATAGATGAAAGTGTGAAACCTTTTATAAGAACTCAAATATGACGTCATTACAAGTTAATGATGTAAGCAAAAGAAAAACTATACGCGCATAATAGAAGAGCGCGTCACTACTATCTCAATTTTTGTGATCTCGAAAAGGGACAGACCTCGACGATCTTCCAACTTCAATAGGGTCACTGTACCTTCAAGTGTACCTTCACAAAATCAAACAACGCGATTCAAACCAAGGTGATGAATGTCATGGGAAAGAAGATGTTGAACATGATCTGATTGATTGTGAAAAATATAGGACACAGCGTAAACATTCTAGACAAGCACTAGTACAAACAAAGCCTTTATGGAGCTTTGTAGATAATGAAAAGTTCTGATCAAACCCGCCACGGACAAATACCCTTTGCATTTTATCCATCAGACAAACTAAACCTCAATTTCACTACAATTTCCTTTTTGTGTTCTATTTGTTTACAAGCCTGGATGATCAAACGGCAGCGAGGTGGGAGGAGGGAATTTGATCCATTGGCATCACAGTCTCAGATTTCATTACTAAGTTGTACCGATGCATCTATTCTATCTTGAACAATTTACAAAACACTTGGTTCCCACATAATTCAAGTTAAAGCATTGGTTTCTACATCAACCAAGTTACTGTTGAGGCAGATGCAGGATTGGAAGTCGTGGATGGGTGTGATGAAATGAAGAATCGACTATAATAGATGAAATCTATTGATATGCCTTTCCATGCCGTACTGATCAGTATAGATCCGTCAGGTTTATCTAATCACAGCTCAGAGATTAAATATGCTATATGTCATGATGACTTACATGAAATTGACAAATCATTTTGGAAAATCAAAGAGGTTTTTTTTCGAAAACTTTTTTTTTTCTAAATGTTGGCAATCCTGCAGATGGGTATGATAATGTGATGCAAAGAAATTCTGCAAGGTCCTCCGGAATCCAAACATCATTGCAATATCTAAATTTTTGTATTTGCCGTCCAAAATTCTGAAAAATTAGATCCAATATAACAATCTAGGAGTCTATACTATCATCCATTCCCATGATCCATCAATGGGACATCTCATCCACACTCGCCAAGATATTTGTCTAAAGATCCAGCTTCTACACAAAGAATCTAAATTTACATCCCAGTATCTTTGCCAAGGTTGCCTTCAATCTCATCAATCCATCCAACCCCATGCCCACCAATCAATCCTTTTACCAAACCTGATTCCACAGATCCCTTGAACACCTTAAACTTGCTTTCAAATTGCATCACATTAGGTGGTGGATCTAGCCTTCTCCAAAATGAATGAAAAAGAAAAGTTAATTTAGTTTGTAGGATTAGAAATGGCAAAAGTTCAATTGGTACATCTATCTCTTCATATGATTTGTCTTGAATAGGAGATAATAGAAAGTATTGTAATTGATGTTGTTTTGCCAATGAGATACACCACCACGTGATATTGATGGAAGCTAGTGCCCATGGATACCTGTTCAAGTCAGTGAATTAGCAGAATGCACGATAAGACGACCTGATCGGGTTATGTGATCTACGCACCAGGACGGTCCTCCATCCACGGCTTCCGCAACAAGGTCTTGAGCTGCCTTTCCATAACGATGTCCAAACAATATCAGAGCATCAAGCCTGTGATTCACGAGTCAAGTATGATGTCAAGTCAGCCAATCAGACTGACCATTGACTTTATCGGATTGTAGTATGAAAAACGTTGACTAGATAACTTACCCTAAAATTGCAGAACCTCGAAAGTCAGTCGAAGGATCTGAACCCTGAAAGCCAATCTGGATTTCATTGAAATGGTTTTGAGAATATTAAACTAACAATCGAGCCAGGCAGTTTGGTTCGCAACAAGTACTCACATCCTGCCATGATTTGGTATGAAGCGATTCGAGTGGCTTCCCTGGCTTGAGCAATTTCCAAAGCTATGTAATCACATCTAGTCAATACATTGTAATATTTCCTGCTGAAAATCAATTTTACTTACGTCTCTCAGTCTTGATGAGTCAGTCGCAGGATTATAGGTTGTATTGGAGCGTGCTAAAACCATCTTGATCGATTGATCGGCGGCTCGGGTCCGATTGAGGCAGAGTACCAACGTAGGAGTATACTAAAGAACCAAGCAAACGAGATTAGAAATGCGATGCCACATCCTTATGTAATATCACGATAAGGAAAAATTACCACTGGGTCTATTGATTTGACGCTTAAAATGGCCAGCGCTACATCCTCTGTGTCGGTGGAGCCAGTGTTCAGAGTTGCTTTTTCGTTCTGTTTTTTAAACCCATCAAGAGAGACTTGAGACCTATTTCAGTTGCCAACAAAGTGTCCAAAGAGCTCACCATCAATGTTACTGAATGTCTCAGAGCCCAATCAATCCTCCAAACCGCCAAACCATCTGAGAGCTCATCAGTTCCAGACCGCGCCCCTGACCCCTCATCATCATCAGGCTCGTCCAGGTAATGTGAAGTAGCCGTCACTCGGGAGGCATGTGCTAATCTGAGTGCACGACCAATTTCGCTAGTGTTGGTTTTAGACTGACTGCAGACCAGGCAAACGCACTTAAAGGCAAACTTGATCGACCGATGTAAGGCAAGTAGGAAAGATGAATAGGGCGAGTTGACGATGAATTGTCGCCATACATCGAGGAAAGTAGGCACTGAGAAATGAAAGACAATGAGAGCCCAGTAGGATGATGGTTGGATGGGCTTGAATGTGGTCCTCGAGTTTGAAGAGCTCATGGTTGAGCGACAAAAACCATCGTGACCTCAAGGTGTGGCCTTGAGCTACGGCCCCGCCGGGCCTATGTCATGGTACCGCGGGCGCTACTTCGCGACGACTTAACGACCTGTGTACGTAACTGACATGGTAACCTGCTCTGTGTTTCACGTGGACGGCCCTCGTTGCGGCTCAGCAGACTTTCTCACACCTCAGCTTCTGACTTTGAACAGCCACCCTCATCCACCATCTCGCCCAAATTTTCCCTAATCGGCTTTTATCCTCTATAATCAAAATCTGAGCCATCCCGAACTCTCGAACGAACAACGCTTCAATCCGCCCTTTGAATAAATAGTTACCATCAATCTACCGCTCGGCCTTCCAAACAAAGTTTTTCCGCCCACTTCAAAATGACACGTCAGTCCATCAATCTATTTTGGACTTCTACATGCCTTATTCGCCATGAAAGTCCTCACGTCGAATCATTGGTCTATTTATTAATCAGGTGGAAATCAAAGAGAAAATGACCGAGCAAAAGCTGCAAAGAAATTAGCTGACCTTCAAAAATCAAAGAACAAAGTTTCGGGTGCAACTTTGACTAAACGAAAAGAAGATGATGCCCAAAAAATGCGCGAGAAACAAGCCGTTCGTTGTCATAATCTCATCGCTTTTTTCGATCCTTATTTGCAAATTAAAGGGGCTAACCTCTGAACTCCTCTTTCCTTCGTACTTCATCATGACAATGCAATTTCAATTTTCGTCGCATAATATCCAGAAAGCCCTTGCTGAAAAAGAGGCCAAAGCAGGAGGAGGTGGTGGTGGAGTCAAATCATGACCATTCGAGTGCTGTACCTATCACTCGCTTTCAATCATTCCAACCCAATTCCCTCCTACAATCAGATTCGAGTCTCAATCCAATCGGAATTTTCAATCAACTTGCTTAAACTCTCCTACCTCGAGATTTGTTTTTAACCAGTCTTCGATGAAGTTCTCTGTTCACTGCTAACAAATAAGATGGCGAAATGGCTCCGGATGGGATCCAAACTGTTTTGGGAGCTAGAAGGATTGTCAAAGACCCGCTTTTGAAAAATTAGGTACACAGTACCGGGATCTTTGTTTAAAACTTGTACACTGAACCTTACTTTCTAAATATTTTCTGCCATTATTCTCTTCTTCCTGGTTATTGATCTTCTGTTCAATTCAAAACCAAAGATATCAGCTACCATTATAGATTGTCGTTTTTTTTCTTTTCTTCTGCCTTACTCTTACTGTTCATAATTCCTAAAATCTTGCACCTGAAACTCACTCGATTTGTTTCCTTACTTGGAAATTATTGGCAAAAACCAAAAACTTCCAATCATGACTTGTTTGAATCCATACTTTCTTCATGCAAAGCCTTCGGGCGGCGTCTTCTGAGGAGTGATGTCTTCCGCTATGAGCTTCAAAATGGGAGGTTGCTATTGTGATGGCCACGTCATCACACATATACAAGACGCTGGGATCACAATTCCTAGAACCAATGAGTTCCTTACTACAGCTATTTCAAATTAAATATGCCTGTCTGACCAGCCTGAATGGGCTGATCACACAATCAGCAAGAAGTAACAAAACTAGATCAGGATCACCTGCAAGCATCTATGTATTCTACTTCTCCCTGTCGTAGAGCGCTACCTGATGTTATGTACAATCTTTGGGAGCAGAAACTGCTACAGGTTTCTAAGCACTGCCGACATATACCACTGTGGATGGATACGCAGTACACAGGGAGAAGTGTGACAGGTCAGCCCGAGCCCCGATCGCTACCCGTCGAGTAGTGGCTCGCCCGGCCCCGAACCGACGGGTAGAGAGACCTCCCAAGCCCGTTCGGGGGTCCCCGAACGAGTTTTTTTTGAAAAATTGTCTGCCCGAACCCCGACCGGGTTCCCCGCCGGGGACTCGCTGGCTGGACCAAAAAGGGTCCCTCACCCAGGTTTGAACACCGGACCGGGTCATTTATCGATATTGATGCCAAATACATTGAAAAAAAGTGTCCACTTGATGTTTAAATTGCACTCAGGGCCTCACATCACAGCCATGGCAGTGCTGGCAAGGTTCCCATGTGCTTGGTAGGGCCTCCCCTGACAATGGACTAGGTAGTTTTTACCTGTGATGGAGTGTTTTAAATACATTTTTTACTCGTCGGGTACCCGGCGGATAGTATTTTTTTCGATTTCTACGCCCGACACCCGACTCGCGGGGATCCCCGATCATCGGGGGTTGTAGAGCCTCCGCCCGAATCCCGGACCTATCGGGGACCCCGTCGGGTCCCCGATCGGGGGGCTGGTCCGGGGCTCAGGCTGAGTGACAGGAGTTCATCCAACAATTTAGCAGAGTTCAAATAAAGCCTGTGTAGTGAGTTAATGAGTAGCTTTAATGAGTTCAGCTATAAGGGTGAGGGAGGGTGGAGGAAGACAGTTTGCATCCGCAGCTTTATTTTGACTTGAATCTCTAACTTATTGATAAACTCATAGCAACGATATAGAAATGTGACTTCATAGGCAAGCTCAAAGGGTAGTCAGTATAGAGACCAGGGGCTCTTGGAAGTGCACTCTCTTTGCCAAAGGAACTGGCTATTGCAAGGTATAATTTGTAACTCCTAACAATATGAAGAAGATTTGAATGTTGAAAATGAAGAAACTTTCAAACAAAAAAAATAGTTAAAACTACAAAATTACAACGCAATAATGAAGCACGCGAGAAAAAAAAGGAAATTTATGCTCCAAAGCCATAAAGTGTTCGGCCTTGTCGTTTGAGAGCGTAGACAACATCAAGAGATGTGACAGTTTTTCGTTTGGCATGTCTAAAAAGGGAGAAAAGAATGAGCGACTGGTGATCATAGGCAAGTATGTAAAGGGTTGAAAGACGTACTCAGTGTATGTTACTGAATCCCGGATAACATTTTCGAGGAAAATCTGATAAAGGCGAACTCAGTTAGTCTACAGGAAACGTAGCGAAGAACAAAGACAAAGGCCAACTCACTTTTAGAACACCTCTTGTCTCTTCATAGATAAGACCGGAGATACGCTTGACACCACCTCGTCGAGCTAATCGTCGAATTGCAGGTTTGGTAATACCTTGGATGTTGTCTCGCAAGATTTTTCGGTGACCTGTTGGTTGATCAAGTTTAGAAGATGAGAAAAGAAGTAGATAATAAGGTATGTTCAAAGGCAATCACGTACGTTTAGCACCACCCTTGCCGAGACCTTTACCACCGCTTTTTCCTCGTCCTGACATGTTGTGTTAAGGTTATTTGGGTTGAAAAGAGGAAAAGTTAAAGTAGGATGTAGATGGCAGTAGAAGATCTGATTTAATTGAGGGATATGGTTTGAGTTGATGAGGGGGAGGTGGAGAAATGAGAAGGGAAAAGGGCTTCTTTATATCCGATGGCACTCATTCTAGCTCAGACGTCTCGCGTCTAAGTCCGCAGGTACAGTCTTCGGGACGACGCGACGACTCCAAAAATGGGGGCAGCTGATTGGTCGAACTGTCAGAACACGGTTGTCTCGGCGCGTCGAGCGCGTTTTGGATGCGCGCCGATCGCGTGCATCGCGTCGCGTGAAACGGAAGGATCATCCAAAGTTCAAACTTCCCTCAGCACTCCTCAGTCTCAAGCAGTATAAATCTCATCCCATTGCACCCCTTCCTTTCTTCCCTCATCATTCACACTTGAACACATTCTTAGACACATTCAACCCACTTTATCATTCTACTCCACCCCAGTCTTTAAATCCAAAATCTTCTCAATGGCTCGTACTAAGCAAACCGCTCGCAAAAGCACTGGTGGCAAAGCCCCTCGCAAACAACTTGCTGCTAAAGCTGCTCGTAAATCAGCACCAGCTACCGGTGGTGTCAAGAAGCCACACCGATACCGGTGAGTTTCTCATCACGATTCTTCATCTTTTGATTATCATCTCATTTTTTCTGTTTGTCAGCCCTGGTACCGTTGCTCTTCGAGAAATCAGGCGATACCAGAAATCCACTGAACTCTTGATCAGGAAACTTCCGTAAGTCTCGATATAACCTCAATGACTCTAATCTCATTCGCTAAGACCTTGCGTTTCCCTATTAGTTTCCAGCGATTAGTTCGGGAAATTGCACAAGATTTCAAAACCGATCTTCGTTTCCAATCCTCCGCTGTCATGGCACTACAGGAATCCGCTGAGGCTTACCTTGTTGGGTGAGTCATGACGTCACTTCTTGCTTTTTCATCTCCAATCTGACCATTCATCATCTCTTCAGATTGTTCGAGGACACAAACTTAGCAGCCATTCATGCCAAACGAGTCACCATCCAGCCCAAGGACATTCAACTAGCACGCAGGCTTAGAGGCGAACGATCATGATTTAAACAGCCTTTCTACCTTTTACTTTTCCTTCGCCCCTTTGCTCTCTTTGTAATATCTACATACGCTCTCGTTTTTGTAAAGTGAAGTCCTTGGTATTTTAATGTGAATTCAACTTGGTCTGCGCTCCTGCTATACAAGAACCTCGTGTCATGTTGCACTCATCCTCAATGAGAAGATTCATAAGAAATGTAACCCAATCAACTTGCTTCATGAATAATTTCATACCATCGCAACCATAGTGCTCGGCCCTACTCAGTGCTCACCCAAGCTGAATAAGCCCTTTCACAAACTCACCCGGGTATCCTTACGAGTCCTTACAACACAGTCGCCAGTGAACCTTTTACCTCGAAAATATGTATCTTCAATCTTTTACTCATGCGGACTGTCAAGGCGGTAGCCAGCAACCCTTGCATGCATTTATTTTGACGCAATGCAGCGATTGATCAAGCAGTCGATGGATAGGCTCTGTCATGTTCCGTTAACAAGCGCATACACCCGCCCATCCCATCGCGTTGATTGAGATATGTACAAATCAGAGATGATCAGCAAGTTTATAAAATGTAAAAAGTCCATACAATCATAATGAATTGCTCACGACAGGATACCTCCATCCACGTTCAAGACCAAACCATCACAATACTGACCGCCCTTTCCACAAAGCTATTGAGAAGACATGAAATCCAAAGCTATCAGTGAAATCCATAGACGGCAACTTCAGATCCGTAGTAGTAAAGGTGGACTTGCATAAAGCACAGTGGCAGCCATCTCTTCAAGTTTGCCTGTGCGGCCTATTGGTATTCCATCCTGTAATGGATGAAATGTATCTGATACAGCAGTCTTTCCACGTCTGTCGATAAGCAAAATCAAAGGAAAGTAAAGCACAGAAGAATGAAATCAGTATCGTACTTATAAATATCTATTTGAGCTGAACACCCAACTCATCACTTGGCTTCCTTGACGTCTAGATATATAACAAAAGTTCATTCAACGTCAGTCGAAATTTTCCTCAAGATCATCAGTAACTCGAACCCGAGAATGATCAGATCTCTTATCGAGAACCAATTTGACTTGTTCTGACCATCTCAGAGGGAAATAAACCAGGTGCAATAGCATTGAATCTGATTCCAAGCCTGCCAACCTCGGTTGCCATCATCCTGTTATTCATGAGCCACTTTTGAGTATCCATTCAACTTTATTCTTTGTTGAAATATGCGGTCAATGAGAACTTACTTTGTCAAGTGATTTGCAGCTGCCTTGGTTGCGTTGTAGGCAATATGATTCGCCGATACTTTGAGCAATCCACCCTAATAAACAATCAAGAAAAAACATCAACTTTCAAATCTAATTTGCTTTCAATTGAAAAACACTCACCACTGAAGTGATATTGATCACCCCACTACGATAATGTTCTTTCTTTCCTTTCTCAAGTAAAGGAAGAAAACAAATCGTAGAAAAATAAATAGCTGATACATTTGTACGCCAAACTTGATCCCATTTTTCAAAGCTATCAGATTCTAGATTTTCAGCTAATTCTTGGGCTGATTTATTTGGTGATACATCAGTATAAGGACCTGAAATTCCTGCATTATTGATCTTTGAAAATCGGGTTTTAGTTCAGGAAAGTCAATTGATTATTGATATAGATCAGTTGGACTCACTAGGATTTGAATTCCATTTGGCTCTTGATCTTCGATTTGTTTGACTACTCTCTTCAAATCGTCCTTTGATGTGACATCTGCTTGAACCCTTTTTTCCCACTCAGATTATCTGATCAGTTGAATCATTCCATCCGATCAAATGTTCGACTTTTGTAGCTCGGTTTGAAATTGACTTACCCAATTATCTTACCAGTAACATGTTTTTGATAATAATTAACAGCCCTAGTCAATACCTCTTCACGACGTCCGGTGATGTATACTAGGATATGCGCCAAATACATTAAGGGTCAGAAATTCAGTAAGATATGGTCAAGTGAGGACAAAATCTATACCTGTGGCGCCGTGAGTCGCGAGTGCCTCAGTACACATCAAGCCAATGCTGATGGAGAACAAAAATGATAGTGAAGGATTTATTTTGTTAATGTTCCGAGATGTCAAAGGATCTCAAACAACTCGATTGATAACTCACCCAGTCCCACCACCTGAAATGACGGCCACGAGACCTTTGACAGAGAAAAGAGATTCAAGTGAGAGAGCTTTGTTGAGCTCTTGATGAGGGTCTTGAGCGGCAGCGTTAGACATGTTGCTTGGGGATACTGTTAGCTCAAGTTGATAGTTCTGGTAGAATGGAAAATACTAGGGAAAGAACGGTCAAGAGAATCAATGCGATTTGAAAAGTAAAAGGTAAATCCTTTTCACTTTGGTATCACCGTCGAACTTCTCTGGCTTATGGAGGACGGTCAAGAGAAGCATCCTAAAGTGAAATCAGAACTCTATTCACAGAATTGTGAAATTGATCAGAAGACCTGAAAATTCGGTCATCGGACGACATCCGTGCACGTTTGAGTGGTGTAGTCAGTCGCCATCATAAAGAGCATCTAGATAGCGGTCTCTGCTCCCAATGGTAAAGGTACCCGTGTTGCCCATCTTTTGCTTCTCTTTTGAAAACTTCAGTCTCTATTTTCATATGTCCACTTTTGGTGCAAAGCGTTTTTTTGTGCGTTGCATGGGCTTTCTTTTGATAAGAAATTAATCTTGATTATTCAGGAGCATACTCATATTTAACAGTGACCTTTGTTTTACATTGTCTTGGACTTGATCAAATGAAATTTTATACTTGTCACAAGAATCTTTTGATAGGTTTAGATTAAGCTTTTTGCAGGGACTGATCATCTTATATGATAATTTGTTTTTTTAATTGATACAACAACGATAAGAAACCTTAGCATCATCTTCTGATGCAAAATGGCTTGGCGCGCTCCATAGACGCTTGACAGATCAACACACAGATGGATTGGTCCTGTGTTTATACAAACGCCAACCAAAATGATTGTTATCGGTCAGTATATTCTACTTGGTTTGGAGGTTTAAACAGTGGAGAGCGCATAAATCATAAAAGGATGTCTGGCATGTATGGCATCGAGATCAATGACTTACAGCAAGATACCCCCATCGACATTCATAACCAAACCATCACAATATTGCCCGCCTTTGCGAAAGAGAAAATATGAATGACTCAAACTTAAGATACGCTGATTGAGTACCATGATCTTAATGAGAACTCACATATAGCACAGAGGCAGCCATTTCTTCAAGTTTGCCTGGACGTCCCGCAGGTATTTTGTACTTTTCTGGATCAAATCTTTCTGATATATCGTTCTTTCCACGGCTATCCAACCCAAATGGAAAGACAAAGCATCAAGGGTCAAGGAATTAGTGTGAGGTTTGAAATGAGCTAGGAGATCTGATACTCAACTCATCACTGGAAGTCTTGGCCGTCTAGAAAAGAGATAATCACAATCGCACAATAGCAGTCAGTCAGTGAGTTTCTGAAGCAGTGATAACACAAAGAGTTGCTTGTGAAGAAGGGGGTTGAAGTGTGCTGACCATCTCAGAGGGGAAAACTCCAGGTGCGATAGAGTTGAACCTGATTCCAAGCCTGCCGACTTCTGTTGCCATCATTCTGTTCAAGTTCAACACCAGTCAAAATTCAGCAATCAATAACTTTTCCTTTTACATCTTTCCTTGATGTTTTTGGAAAATCGTGCAGTCAATATGAACTTACTTGGTCAGGTGAATTGCAGCTGCTTTGCTTGCGTTGTAGGCTAAATGGGATTGTGAAATTTTGACCATTCCACTCTGATATACGACCACTCATTATCAATCAACTATAAGATCGAAAGCTAAAAACAATAGAAAGACTAACGATTGAACTGATGTTGATCACACCACTTCGATAGCTTTCCTTGGTGCCTTTCTCCAATAATGGAAGAAAACAAATAGTCGAGAAATAGATCGAGGCAACATTTGTTCTCCAAACATTATCCCAATCTTCAAAACTTTCGGATTCCATAGTCGAATTTGCCAATTCTTTTCCCGATTTTTCTGAAGCGGTTTCCGAATGAGGACCAGAGATTCCTGCGTTGTTTATCTACAATTTGAACCAGGTTTTAAATCGCAAAATCCACCAAATCAATCCAGACACACAGTCTCTCAGATCTTCGTGCATTTAGGATCAGGAGCGAGTAAGTTGTACTCACCAAAATTTGAATTCCATTTGGTTCTTTACCCTCAATCTCTTTTACTAACTTCTTTAAATCATCCTTGGATGTGACATCCGCCTGAATTCTATCTCACCCAAGAAACCTCGATCAACGCCAACATCCGCCTGGACCAAAAGTGTACCTCTCGGGCTTATATCACGAGTAAACTTACGCAACAATTTGACCGGTGGCATGTTGCTGATAGCTATCAACAGCACGTTTCAACACCTCTTCTCGACGTCCGGTGATATATACTACCAGATGCGCCAGCAACGATCAACATCAAAAAGCAAAGCAAAGCGGTCACGAGAACATGAGAGTGATGTAAAGATGTACCTTTGGCGCCGTGAGTCGCGAGTGCCTCAGTACACATTAACCCAATGCTGATGTAAAACAGTATGATGGAACCGACACATTGCGTTGGTAGATATGCCAATTAGCATGGAATAGAAGCAATAACGCACCCAGTCCCACCACCCGTAACAACGGCCACAAGGCCTTTGACCGAGAAAAGGGAGTCAAGTGCGAGAGCTTTGTTGAGCTCCTGATGAGGGTCTCGAGCGGCAGCGTTAGACATGATGCTTGTGAGAATTGTTGTAGGAATACAATCAAAGCTTCAGATGATGGTTGAACGGTCAAGAGGATGGAATGAGAGCTTGAATAGAAAAGCAAAGAGATGACATCATCTTTTCTTTCATATGATAACTTCTCTGGCTTACCCGAGATCAGTCATTCTAGTTGTCATTGCCGAGACAACAAACGAATCACAAGTTTGATTTGCCATATACTCTTCCCAACTCTCGGAATGGATTACATTTCCATCTGCCGAACTTAAGACCCTCTTGCATAGTCGCTCCAAGAATCATCGGCTCGTTTTGTTTTCTTGTCAAGACAAGGTTTTGTTGAAAAGACAAACACTCGGTTCAAACTTGTTGATGCCAACTTTGAGTTGGTCCCATACTACATTACGCGTCTACTAGCAAATGACCAAGAAGATTTAGATCACGTAAGTATGTAAAGCCGATTTGTGCGAGATGGGGAGACTGGACAATCTGGAGCCGACTGGAGAGTGGAAAACATATTTATATGCGTTTGTAGAATCTAAATATGGTTTGCAATTTGTTGAGGTTTTTTGTTTGAGATAAATTCGCAGAGATGCTTCATCCTCAAATTTCGATCATGGCGGATTTGTATAAATCCCTCTTTAAATTAAGAATCGATCTAAACCTAACAAATCGTCCCACAGGCTCAGGTTGTCGCAAGGGAGAGCTGACTGGGTGCGATTTTGTTAAACTTGGAATCAATCTATGATTCAAGATTTCGAAAATGTTTATATGTACATGTGATTTCAAGATAGGAGTCAGAATTCGAAAAACATTCATCTATCAGATATATACGTCACAGACAAGATTTCAAAATCACCAATTCTTTCCAGTGTCTTTATTTTGTGGTGGTATTTCTCTTCCAAACTCATCCAACTCCCCTGTGACATCAGCACCACCAATATTGATATTTGTTGACCATCGACTCATCCCTCTTCCTCCTCCTCCTCCACCCCCGCCGCCGCCACCACCCCCTTTAGACTGAGGAGTCTTCCACTTCATCTTCCCAGCGGCTAAATCCCTTCCCATAGCTGCCTCTTGACTCAATAAAGGACCTCTCCTCCAACCCACTGCTCCTCCACCTCCATTATTATTACTACTATTTGCTAAACCTGGTAATGGCATCTCATTCGTTTCCGTGGCTCTTCCAAATCCAGGTATTGCTAAAGCTTCAGGTTTAGGTAAATCAAGTGACATCCTCGGTGGTTGTGGTGCGTTTCCTTGAAATCTTAAAGCTGTACCTGATCCGGTTGGAACGAATCCGGGTGGCGGGTTACCTAATATGTCAGATTCTGCTGTTGGAATCGGGTTGAAGAGTTGACCAGCTCCCATTGGTTGGTTAGGGTGGTATTGATGTCCTAGCCCAGGTACGAAGAAATCTTCGGCTGAATGGGTCATGAGAAGTGCACAGGATGCAGATGTGATCAGACATACATGTAGCACTTTATAACATGAAATGAAAAATGCCTCACGTTGTTCTTCTTCGTCTTTGATACCCAACTCTCTTGCACGTTCTTTTCCTATGTGGAACTTATCATTTGCGATCTTTATTCCTGGCCTACCTCGACTCCAAAAACGAGTAGTGTGGTCGTTACTACCGCTGACCAGTGTATGTCCAAGTGGATGATAATCAAGAGCCCAAACACAACCGTCATGTGCAAATTCCAATTCGTCTACTGGTTCAGACTCTGGCAAACACCAATAGAGGATTGTTCCGTCGGATCCACCAGAAGTAAGTATATCATGATGAATTGGATGCCATGTGAGAGCTACAAAAAAGGTCATGAGTCAAGTGTTGTTTGTTCTATTTTAAGGATTCAAGAGGAAGACGAACAGCAAACTTCTTTCTTATGACCTCGGAGGGCTACCAACTCTTTCATCATTCGAATGTCGAAGACTTTGATCAATTGATCTCTCGATCCAGTCGCAACAATGTGTCCATTCGGATTCCATGCACAGGCTTGTACACTGCTCTTATGGCCATGTCTTAGCTCCGAAAGATGAAAACACAAACGGTCAGCTCAAAAAGTGAGTCATCACAACTCGTGAAAAAACTAAACACAAATTATCACCAAAAAAGTAGAAATGGGATATAATAAAGGGAGGAAAAATCGTTCCAAAGATGAAGGAGCTCACAATGTAGCCAAACATTTCGCACTTCTGGGATCCCAAAACTTCACCAAACTATCTTTACCTCCCGAACATAACAGTCCCTTGGTCGGATGCCATTTCACACATCTCACATCCCATCCATGTCCTTTTTAGCGTAAGAATGAACATATGAACATCGTGTTTCTACATCATATAAGTGAATCGAAATGCTCAAAGGAAAGGAACAACTGACCAACCAAATTACGTTCCTCACGTCTTTCCTCAAATCCCCACAGTTTGATCAGACCATCATCACCACAGCTCACAAACCTAGAATCGTTAGGTGAAAACGAGATATCTCGTACACTATCCTTATGACCTTCAAAGACTTGTAAATTATTCATGTTGGGTTGAAAATATTTAATCATGCCTGCATTATCACCTGAGACCAACCAACTTCCAGATTTGGCCCAATCTACTGCTCTAACAGCTGTATCATGAGCTTGTAAGATTGTCTCAAAATTGAATGTCAACGCGTTCCAAAGTGTAAATTCTCCACTAGTTGCACCGGTCAACACTCTTCGCGCGTCAGGCGTAAACTAAAAGTCCAAATTTGATAAGTTTCAGTCAATATTCGATTGATTGATTTTGAAAACGATCAAGGTTCACATACTCTGACTATATTTATGGGACATCGGACTTTATTTGTAGACGTGTGAACATATTTCGTTAGTATCGAAGTAGATGGGTTTCTCGGATAGGCTTGAGGTGGTAAGAACTATTACGAAGATAGTTAATCATGAGTGATGAAAGGATCCGAAAGAAGATGAGAGCCAAACCAACTTACTTCAACTAAATGATCAATACACGGTCTAATGAAATAATGCTCATCCGCGCAAGTTTTAAGCGACCTCATCTATAGAAAATCAAAACAATCACCATCAGACTTGATATCAAAAGTAAGTTTCCCAAATTCAAACCACAAAAAAAAGATCTCGTACCCACCAAATTCCAACGAGCCATACTACCCCCAATATCAACCGTACGTCTAGGACGAATTTTACGAGCTCTACCATCCTGTCTACCATGACCTGAAATCGCTGCCATTTCTAATGCACTCTCTTCTGCGATTCTTCTTTCCATACTTGGTGCACTTGGTGGACCATATGGACCTGGTCTCCATCCGTCCCATGCTTGTGTTCTTGATTTTTTCGGTCTTAGATCTTTTGTTTGAATTTTAATTTCTTCTGGTGTTGAGTTAGTGGTATCTGTCATTTCTAATGAAGTCATTGGAGAGTTGAGTTGAGTTTAACGATCGACATGTTGAAACTTGAAAGTTGAATGATGAGAAGCTGAGAAGCATACACTGAAAGGTATGTATAAGCATATTGTTCGGATGATGCTGATACCGAGTCAAGTCACATGCTTGACACACGAAACAAAAGTCACTTCAAAATGTATGCGCCACGGCTCTTTCTGATTCTTGCCTCTTGAAAAGTGAACTATACTTGACCGAAATCATGGAGCCGAATCAAGACGAAGAACACCAAAGTCGACAGCCTGATCATGTCATCGCATTATCATATTGGGATCAAGTAGCTAAAGATGAGCCTAATGACAATGGAGTACTAGGAGGTTCGTGGTTTATTTCGTGAACAAAACTGGCTTCTTTTGCGTTTATTTATTTATGAAGACCACGTTGATATCATTTAAAAATATGAATCGAATTGATCAATCAAGGTTTTGGAGAAGGTGTCAGTGAAGCAAGACTTGCTTTTGTTTCCGCTTTCTGATGACGAGCATACCAAACTGATTCGTGGTCTTGATTCATGTTTTCCTTAGAGCTTACCAAGGGTAGATAGTTTAACAAGTAGATTATTTCTTCTTAGTCTAAGACCGACATTCTCCACGGTTTCAACAGAAAATACACCTTTAAAAAAACGAAGAGCACTTGATATCGGAGCAGGAATAGGTCGTGTGACTCGATCTGTACTGCTCCCTGTACTTGGTCCAACTTCATTGGTTGATATGGTAGAACCTGCCTCAGGATTTGTCAATGCTGCTCAAGAGGCCTCTGGTCAATGGAAAGGAAAGATACAAATTTGGCAGATGGGTATACAAGAGTTTTGGAATCAAAGAAATGTTAAGAAGCCAACTTGGGTCACCGGTCAATTTGATCAAGATGGAACGGAGGAGAGAAAGAAATACGATGTGATTTGGTGTCAATGGTCAGTTTGACCTTTTCATAAATTTACTCGTCATCTGGGATCCGTTCTGACTGTGGTAATTTCATTTTTCGTATGACAAATGAATAGGGTACTGGGTCACTTGACCGATGACGAGTTTATTGAATTCTTCAGTCGAGCTTCGGAAGAGCTGGTCGGGAATGATGAAGGAGAACCTGGATTGATTGTCGTGAAGGAGAATGTATGTGAAGGAGAAGGATGTGTATATGATGAAGTAGATGGTTCTGTGACACGGTGAGTACGAACCACACGGCAAGAAACATTCTTTGGGAGGATACTGACAGTGACGATATATGATTTGTAAAAATCTAGGTCTGATGCAGTTTTTCGAAAACTGTTCGACTTATCAGGATTGGTGCTGGTAAGGCAAGATGTTCAATTAGGGTTTCCATCTGAATTGTTTCGCGTCAATCTTTATGCACTAGAACGACCAAAAAGTATTACAAAAAATCATCAAAGCCTCAAATGAACTCCTACTTTCTCGATGAAGTGAGCCTTTGAGGAACAAAAGAGGTTTGACACCGTTTGATCTTTCCGATACAGCTCGTAGACAGAGATTGGGTAGGTTGAGCCATTTGATTGATCTATATCTATACATCTCTGACATCTAGATATCAGTCAAACAGGTGTATTGGTATATTGGTGTGCAGAAGCCATGTATATGCACCCTTCACCCATGCTTTGAGTAGGCTCCTTCTTATCTGATGGTCTCTCTTGGCTACGGAGTTGCCAGGCTATCCGGATTTGAAGAATATGTAGCAAGCATGGAATTCAACGGACCAAAATTCCTTACTCAAGTCTTTCATCAGCGCCATACAAGAAGCTCATCTGAATCTGGATGAAGGGAAAACCCCGAGGAGGGATATTAGAGAAAGGAATGGTGGATGAGTCCAACCAAGCCAATAGTTTATAACACATTGAACTGTAAGGTCATCTTCACCTCCCATCAATAATTGGTCACATTGAACTATCAAAACCCATAAGTTATTTTGAGAAGTTCATCATTCTTGAAATCAATCAACTCACTGCTCATCACTTTTGTGGATGACTGTTAATTCTGATGAAATTTTTCAAACACTATTGGAATGAGGAGTATTAAGGGCGCGTTTGCTGGAGAAACTTTTGGTCAGAAAGGCTTTGCATTCTGTAACATATTAAATGCTGATTATGTCTTGATGTGAATTCTGATCAGAATTTCCTCAAGCAAACATGGCCTATGTAAGTGGGCAAGCTCCAAGACATTCCAGAGCGTGTTCATCATCAATCTTGAGCCCATTAACTTGTTTCTGATACTTCTTCCCAAAAGTATCATAAATGCAAGCGCGTGGATGAATCATGAACAGAGGATTGAGATCACAGATAAAGAATGCAGAAAAACATAACAAAACCTAGAGCTGTTTCGAAAACTGTTCCTCCTGTTGTTTTTGATTTTTTTTTCATATCCGCCGTTAATTGATAGTTGCCTGTCTGGGTTATTTATTCCGATTGGGATCAGAAATGGAGCTGACGCAGGCGCAAACCCGCTCAAGCGTTGGCATCAAGGGTTGAAGCTGACTTCAGGCAAGCGAGGTGATTCAAGCTCAGGCCGTGTCATTAGCCATTTCCGCGCTTTTTCTACCAGATTGAAAACTACGGATATGAAATATGAAAATTCGAAGATGACAGCACTAACGTTTACTTTCGAAACGGCTGTAATACAGTAGTGTTTCAATTTCTACTTCACAAATAATCAACACGGGTAAATAGAGTTGAAACGGTAAACAACAAACGACAGTCAAGGCAAATCAAGATCTCGAGGTTAAAGACTTCAAGAAGAAAGAACTCAACCAGAGACAGAAAAAAACAGGAAAGAAAACGAAAAGGAAAAAGAAAAGGAAAGATTAGAAATGACTCCGATCAACTCAAGAAACACTTCGACTAGAAGGTCATTACCATTTCCAAGCAACAACCAATCCACTACCATCATCAAACCCAGCTCAACAAGCAACTCATCATTATCAAAATCGATCACTTCTTCACTTTCCAAATCAACTTCAACTCCAATACCGACTACTTCATCATCATCATCATCACAATCAAAACTAAATCAATCTCGTAGACAATCTGTTATTCCTCAACTTAATCGACCAATCTCAATCACTACTACAGCTCTTAACACTAATCGTAATAATAATCAATCTAGTACTAACAACAATCGAACTCCTACTTTACCTCGATCACGTAATGTTTCTCTCAATTTACCTCAATCGAATCTCAACAATTTAAGTAATACTAGCAATCAAAATAATAATAATAATAATGTAGCACCTCTTAAGAGATCACCATTGAATCGTAACACTATAGCTAATTTTACACCACTTTCATCTGAAAGATCTAGAACGTTCACTACTCCTGCTACTACTCCATCACCTCAAGTGATCAATCGTAATCTATTACCAGAATCATCAACTAAACCTGAAGATATCGAAACAGAAGTACCAGATGATGAAGAAGAAATAGATGAAGAAGTTGAGTCACTCTTGTTTCCTGCCTACATTTTCCCCAAACCCAAAAAATGAATTACAAAAAACTGATCTGATGTTGTTTTTTTAGATGGATGAAGCACTTGCAAGAGTTGTAAAAGTACATGCAAGTAAATTAACAGAGTTGAAAAGAACTTTATCTTCTTCTGGTCAAGGAAATTCAATGTCACTGCATCTTTTACAAGCTGAATTGAAATCTGCTAAAGATGAATTATCAGATTCGAATCAAACAATTGATCGATTAAAAATCGAAAATCGAAATTTAAATCATCAATTGGTTGGTCATCTTTTTCCTTATTATACAAGATTGATTTCGAAATTATAATCTTAAATGCATTTGTTTCTTGTTTTAGGTAATGGGTTCTAAAGATAATTTCAAAAGACCTGTGCCTGCTAGATCTCAAAGTTCGAGTACTTTACATGATCAGTTATCTAAAGCATTTTTGGATGCTTTACAAAATGGAACCGAAAGTGAAATTCAAGCTGTGTTTAGATCTATGCCTTCTACTTCACGGTTACATCTGTAAGCTTTTACCTTTTTTGATACATTTTATTTTTGGATTGTTTTCAGTCCATTAGGATGTTGATCAGGAAATATTCTAGGTTGTATCTTTTATTAGATGCTAGTTTGCCGGGTGATCTTGCTGCACTTCGAACATTTTTGGCCAAAATTGAACGTACTAAACGAGATTGTATGTATCCTTTGTATTCCTTTGTGTCAGTTTCTTGTCGGTTTCTTCTACTGATTGGTTAACTTTTTGAATTTTGGTTTCTAGTGATTGGTGCTTTACCTGAGGCTTTGGCCGTAAAATGTTTGATGAGAATGGATTTGAAATCGATTTTGACTTGTCGATTGGTGGGTTTTGTGTTTGTTTGATCTGTTCAATAAACATTAGACATCATGTTTCTTCCCGACTGTGATTCTAATGTTGCATTTCTTTGAGCTCCTGTAGGTCTCTAAAACATGGTAAGATTTATTGAATTGTCTAACACTTGTATCCCTGAACGGAGTCCTGATTGGTTTTCAACAGGAATCGTGTGATTTCTGAATGTGGAGCAGAACTTTGGAGACAACTTTGTTATTCATTAACTTCTATGGATGATGAACGACCTACTCCAAACACAGATGATGCTTATGGTTGGTTTGAGCTTTATAAAGGTTTGTATTATCGTGAAGAGAACTGGAAAAGAGGTTTGGCTCAAAGAGTGGTAGTTTTAAAAGGTCATACTGGTGAGTTGATACAATCTCTTGAGTTTTAGTAAATATGAAAAAAACCGATGTATGGATTGACACTGATATTTTTGATTTTTAGGCTCAATTGGAGCGATCAAGTTGAGGGGATCAACCTTGGTGACGGGATCTTTGGATGGTACCTTGCGAATCTGGAACGTACGCACAAGTACTTGCTTAAAAATAGTCAAGATGCCAGCCCCTGTTTCGTCGGTGGATTTCCATGGTCAATACGGACATGCTGGAGTAATTGCTGCTGGAGGTAAATATATCAATTTGCAGGTTGATTGCAGAAAGAGTAATTAATGATGTCATGTGCAAATGGGTAGGTAACGATGTAGGAAGAGTGTTTTTAATCTCGATGAATGGTGTGCTACTCAGTACCCTTTCTGGCCATAACAAAGTGAGTATCTATAGATAACAAGCTCTATCAAACGAACTTTTGAGATGGGGAAGATTGAAGATGGGATATGGTGAATAGGGTATTCGTACTTTGGCTATGAATAGTCAATATCTTGTCTCCGGAGGGTATGATAAAGCTTTAGTGGTTTGGAATTGGCGAGAAGGTACACGGATTGTTAAATTTGGTGAGTAAGGTGTTATGGCCGATTTTTGAGTTTGTTTGTTGGGTAACTGATCTTTTGGTTCTGGAGGTCATGATTAGGGCAGCAAACCAATCCTTGTGCGGCCATATCTCTATTTGGCTCATTGTTTAGTAGTGTTCAAGTGGATGGAGTGATCAGATGTTTCAACATCGAGGCACGAGAAATCGTCTCACAACATAAAGTTCAAGGAGGAGGAGGAAATGAGGTATTTCAGTTGAGTATCTCACTGACTTGTGGTGTCTAGCTGTCATACTAATAATTCGCTCTCTTTTTCACACACAGATGGTTTGTGGCTGAAGCAAGAAGAGTGATGATTGCGACTAAGACAAAAATCTATGAATTAGAATATAGACTTACAGCACATGATCAAAACGTTGTGGATTTAAGTTCTCCACCTGATCTTGTTTCAGTAACACCTATTGTACATGAATTGAACAGTGGAACGTTAGATGTTTTGAAAAGAAGATTTGCAGCTGCACCTAGATTCGCGAATCGATTAGGCGAAAATATGAGAATCTGTTGGTCTTTTTTGTTTTCCCTTAAAGTTTTAGATTTGGAACTGATGTTTTTAATCTTGTTCTTGTTCGAAAGTTATTGGTCATTTACCTAAACTTGATGGTGGGACTATGAAAGCTGTTAATTTGGGTAATAGTACGATGAATATAGATGAAGAAATCAGAGGAACAGATTGTTTACAACCAATTGAGGGAGCTTGGTTAGATGGAGAATATTGTGTTTCAACAAGAAACCCGGTGAGTTGTACTTTTTCATCGTTTCTTTTTTTGGTATTGAAGAAAACGAGAGAGAAAAACTGATTTAAAATTTGAGGTTTGCTTTAGACTTGTATGTCATTATCTAGTGATCGATTAGTTGTGGGATGCAGCGATGGGATTCTTTATGCTCTTGATTTTTGTGGAAGAACTTATAGAGCTGAAGAAGAAGAAAGTGAAAGGGATTTAGAAGAATGAAGGAAATCAGATGAATGAAGATTGAATTGTGTTTGTGTTTTCTGTTATGGTATGATGTGATTTTTCTTTTCGTTTTTTATAAACAGTTTTTGAATGGACTGATGAAAGATTGATGAATGAACTAATAACGATAGAAAAAGATGACGTCGTTTTGAATGATTAGGTTTTTTTGGTTTTTGTAATGTTGGAGTGTTTCTGCATTTTGTTTTGATTTAGCTTTCGTTGAATAGATGTTTGGTTTTTTATGCAAGGGTTCATGAAAGTTTTAACAGAAAGTTTTAGCAATATTCTTCAAGTTTGAAAAAGAAAGAAGAGTTTCTGAGTATTTCTTTCCGATTACCTTTTTTTGATCTTATCTTTTTTATCTTTCCTTTTATGCACACATTTACCAGTACCTATGACTCTAAGAAGAAATTCTTTTTACAAAGTTTCAATCAAGAGTGTAAGGTTTAAAATGTTACGTCTTAAAATCTTGACTCTTCAGATTAATGATCTGTTTTGATTTTTTATAAGTTTTTTTTCGCTACAATTAACTTATAAATTTACAGTAGATTGAAGAAAAAAAGATTTATGAGATGTTAGGAAATGGTTTTCTATTTTTATAAATAAACTTTCCTAGTGCTAGATTGTTTTTTTTCATCTTTCTTTTTCTTTTTGCTTTTTTTTGCTATCAATTGTTTGTAAATTTGTTAATATCATTTTTTAAGGAGTCTTATCGACCGTTTTTTTAAAAAATAATCAATCAAAACCTTTTTCTCCTGGAGATTTCTTATGGATATCTAAACGAGATAGAATGCAGAGAAACTATGTTGGAGAGATTACAAAAAGTGTACAGAAATCTTAAAACTGATCCGACTCGAAAGCAGATCTTTGATCTGAACTTCTGAAGTTCTTTGAGTAACATTCAACTTTCATTTATAAATTTTGTGTGGTATGTTTGCAAGATACATTTGCTAGATTGTGTTATATGTGCATCAACTCGATCCAGATACTAACACCAAATATACTACCAAGAACAGTCAAGTGTGCTATGGAAACCATAGATCAGTATGTCGGACGCAGCCAAGCAACACATCACAAAAGGCCCAGAAAGACATCATGTGACGAAAAAGGCTAAACCAACGGTGTCCAGACAATTTATTGTGCAGCGATTGATAACTTTCATTTTCGAAGCTTTGCTTCAAAATATACATTTTTACAAGCCGAGTGAAGAGAACTGTACAGAGAACGAAGTCTAAAGATGATGAATGTTGCTGAGAAACATATCCCCCACGATATTAAGATCCTGATTCAAAGGTGTCAGGGTCACATGGAGGATTTTATCAATAAGTCTCGGAAACCTCGTGTGTGAAGTGATTCCGAAATGCAGCGTAACACAAAAAAAAAACGAGAATAATAAAATGAAGCTTCAGAAAAAAAACCTGAAGCAGTCTCAGCACTGCCAAGATCCGATGATGCCTCAGATTTCTCAACTCGAGGCATCTATGTTGGCAGCGCAGCTCACACATAAGTCCCGGAAAGATCCTATGTTATGGCAAAAAAGGTTCATCCAACGATGACAGGGATGCGCAGGGAATTTCTTGTGTGTCAATTGATAGCTTTCCTCGCCAAAACTTTACTTCAAAAAACGATTTTTGTTTTGCATACGATACATGAAAGACAGATTGGAAAGCATAAAAGCGGCGCTTTCTTTCTCAGCTCGGTTTGACTCAGTGGCTCAAAGGCTTTCATAACAATAATAACTTACAAATTGCTTTGCTGCATCTTCATTTGAGATCCCAAAATATATTAAAATTCATTAATCCATCAATTTCTTTCCAGTACTACATTGGAAAAGTCTCTGTCTTGGATCCCATCTTCTTTACACTTAGTATAGTCCAAGAATAAGCCACAAGGATTTGTGTGAGGAAAAGGTAAATCCCCCTTATCTGATCTTCCTCAGGAGGACAATACAAATTCAGATCTTGAGATACTTTCTTATCATAAGGATCAAACACTGACCTCTACACTCTGATTTGACCCTATTGACCATCTCATTGGCCTTATGTAGGTAAACTCCTCTCACATCAACGAGAAGTCCTGTAAATCTCAACAAAATACAAGCCAAAAGCTTTGTACTTCTTGTAAGCCGATTGACAAAATTGTTTTCTTGTTTATTTGACTGAAACATCATTGTTTTATGAAAGGTAGATATTTTAGCCTTCAAGACAAGGATCTTATACAACACAATTGATTAAAATCAAACAAAATCCATCAAGATTAACTATAATAGATAAATAGCAAGTAGCACACATAAAGCTTATAACCTGTGATACTAGGATATAATATTGGGTATAGTCATTGTTGCACTTCCTAAAAAAGCACCAAGAAAAAAGAAAAACCACCTATGTTATCTTCACAAGTATTTGTGGGCTTGCTGTGGGTGATGATGTTAGGCAGCACTAATGCTAATTTTTCCAAAGTGTATCCTGATCATGACTGTGTATTTGGGGAAAACCGAAGCAATTTCTCTGCTTGTGAGACCAAGTTCACATGCACTTCCTGTCAAACACAAACTCAATGTAAGGGTTTTGATTCCAGGATGGTGTTGCAGTGCAGAATATGTGACTATGAATGGCCAAGGACGGAACTTTGCCAACAAGATCACGAAGGCATATGTCGAGATTGCTCTCGGGCCACAAGTTGAAGAGAAAATGATCATGGTGAGTTTTTACTTGCAGTTTATCCTGACCCCAAAATTTAAGCTAATTGATGTGACTCATCATCATATTCAAAATAAAGCTTGGAAATATTTGCATTCCTAGCTGAGATTTTGCTTTTACTAAGGTTCAGAAGTTCCATCTGATTAATCCTCATCATAAGAGAAAAAAGTACAAATCTCAACAATCCCCCCAAAAAATTGTTTCTGTTTGCTTGTGTGTGGGGTTTTGTCTAATATTTTGTTTAATTTGTGCCCATGAAATTGTAATCAAAAGTTTTGATTATAAGATCAGTAAAAGTGGAAAACACGTTGATATTACATTAAATTTCATCTCTTCCTGATGTTTTTGTCAAGAGTTACATAAGGATGAAGTCTTGAGCATTGTAAAATTTCCAAGTCTACTTATCTTCTTTAGCTCCTGAAGTTTGCAGATTAATAAAGTATATTGATTGTTTCTAAACATATTCAGAAGAATGTTAAACAAGAGTCGTGTTAGTTTTTCCTTTGAGTGTTGGAGTGCACGGGTTTTGTTGTGAGCATCAATGCCTTCAATCAAATTTTGATACTCATGGACTCATTTAAAAACACTGTAAAGGTATTTATATTTCAATCAAGACATTGGCCAACTGAGAAAGATACTTTTTATGCTGAACCTGTCAGCCTGAGACTTAAAACAAGTAGCTTTAGTAGAATCATAGCTGAAGGATGTGTGCTTGAAGCTTTGTTATTGGCTTTGTTACAGTACAGTGAGTTTACTGAGATAAATTTGAACCTTTATATAACAGGAGCTGGCAACTCCATGTTGTCTTAGGTGTGGAATGGCTACCACTACCTGATACTTGCTGAAAGGTCTGTTCCAATCAGGGTCTTCTGAGGCAGGTACAAGTGTACTCCTGTCTCAGGTATATGTACACAGTCAAGCTTCTATGTTTTGATCAAGGGACATCTTTATTAATAAAAATCTTTGAACCATCTTGGACAATGGAAATTAATCTAAATGTCTAGTTTCTACATATTGATAAAGAGACGTCTTTATCAACAACAATCTTTGAAACATTTTGGACAATAAAAGGAAGTCAATCTAAATAGAGTGTTCAGATCCTATTTTGATAAAAACATTCTTTAGTGAAAAGATACACGATAACAGTTATAAAAAATGGTAAGAGTCAAATAATGAAGATAGGATCAATAAATTGGACATGATCTAAGTTAAAAGTATGAGCTGATTTTTTAGTAAAAAGTTGAGTTTGATTTCTAAAAGTATAGTTGTTAGTTTGTAAAAAGGTTATCCTTTTCTCAAGTTGCAGAAAACCACTGCTTATATATCATTGTGCATCTCTCTTTGTGATGTCATCATAACACAGGGTTTTTCACACATGCTCATAATGGTATTTTGTAACAAATGCACATGCTTCTGATACCTTAGTCACATTCTTGGAATTTAACAAGGCTCAAGGAAATATATAACCTTCTTTAAGATCAGTGTCTTTTGCTTTCAAGCTTGGTAACTTGCTTCACCCAAGCTTGATTGGTTCTTTTGTTTGTTCCATCACCAAGACCTTGGAGGGATCTTACACAGTCTTACTCTTGTCTTGATCATTGTGATCTGATACATGTACATGAGTCTTGACAGATAGTGGGAGTGTTGCAAGATACTCTTCATGGCTGACAGAACCTGTACTTATATGGGACTAAGACACAAGGTGACAAGGTAACTTGCCTATCAAACCGCAGCTCTTGAATTGGAGGCACTTCATCTGCTGGGAGTTTTTATATCAGCCTGACACATATTAGCACATACAAAAAGAATGTGTAAAAATATTGGGTACACCAGTGCATGAAAGTTCTGAAAAGGATGCACCAGTGGAAGGAGTCTCAATCAGAACCTCAAGGAAAAACTAGTCATCATGACACTGACAAGCAGTGAAAGAATAAGTAATCAGTGATGTTGATCACTAATAGTACCAATACACAGCAACTCTTTACTAGTAAAGGACAAGGAAAACTCTTTCACATAGTCTTGAGCTTTTGAGGAGTATGACTCAAAAATACCACATTGATATTCCCTGAAATGGTTTGGTGGATTTAGTTGCAATGTCATTGGAAAAAGCTAGCAAAAAAAAGTGTTGTAGAACCCAATTTCAAGATTCTAAAGGGAGTCAAGGTATTTAGGATAAGCTTTATGCAGACTGCTATATATATAAGCCTCAGTGTGTTTGTATGAGAGTGTAATGTTAATGTGAACAAATGATGAGATTTTTAAGTAGGTTTGAACAGTTACAGTACTCAAAGCTCTGCATAGTTTTGTGTGGATAGTTTTTTTGGCCCAAATATACTTTTTTTGCAACTATACACAACCTGGGCAAAGTATATTTTGGTTGGCAGTTTAGCCACATGGTGTTGCCAGCATCTTATCAACAAACGCAGATATACATATGGGGTCCCCAAAGCTATGTAGTTTTTTTGCCCAAATATACTCTTTTTTTTTGCCGCAAAAAAAAAGTATATTTGGGCAAAAAAAACTATACACACAAAACTATACACAGCTTTGAGTACTGTAAGTGTTTGAAAAATCCCAAATGTGG